ATTTTGCTAAGACCTACTAAAAATTTTATTACTTTTAAGTTAAATGCGGTATTGTTAAGAGTAAACCAGAGGGTAAACAAATCATAAATTAGTGGAACCCACCCGGACCCTGAAACAGGTCAATTTTTAACAGGGCCGGATTATTTACTTTCTTTTTGTCTAAAATACTTGAAATATTTTAATAGTTTTTGATGTAGTCAAGTATTTTAAGAAATTTAAAAAAGCCAGGTGGTTATTATCAAGTTATTATTAAATAAAGCAGATTTTTTTTTAATAATAGCTTGGTAAAACTCTACTACTACTTTGGTTTTAAATACGGCCCTGTTTTATTCTGGTGGGTGCAGCAACATTTGCAAAGGAACGTGCCATTTATGGAGGGTTACAAATTCAAGCCATTGTTTGCTTAATCTTTTATAATGTGTCATAAAATTTTTAGTGGGTCTTAGGAAAATGATTTTTCTATAAAGACAATTTTTTCTTTCCATACAGTACATTTTTTCAGCCTCAAACACAATGTTAGAAAATAGTATATTAAAAACAAGTGGTAAAAACACTCACTCTCATTGTGATACTAGTAGTTTATGACACGAGCTACGCAGTGGTGATATTACATAATACGTTCATTCGAAATAGAAAAACTTGGATTGAAGTACAGGAAGAAAGTTTTTTCTTCTCTTGTTATAGTTACACAAATAACAATTTTTTATTTCGCCCTTGTTTTTTTTTTCCAAAACAGTGTCACCAAAGCTATTTCTTTAAGTTATTGTTGTCACGCTAACAATTTCAAACTATTACAAAAAGTTGTTAGCACTAACCAACCTAAATGTTCTACGTTAATCTCACATGCATACAAATATTGCAACAAATATTGTATTAAAAAATTAATGATAATTATATAGAACCAACAAGAAATTTCGGATCAATGATCTTGACCATATGTTGTACTTTGGATGTTAATGAAAAACCAGCAGGTATGAGAAGCTCTTGGCATTTTAGTGTCAGTTTTTTTAGTTGTACATTCCTTTATACCTACAAATTTTAGTATAGTAACATACAACCTACTTACCGTAATCTTGATTCACTCCATATGTATAAATGGGTCGAATTTAAGTACAGTTTTTATTTTCTTTACCTGTTTCAACGAAAACATTAATCTCCGTTGTTTATTTATTTGCTTTCATTGATTTAATACAYGTTTTTTATAATATGCGTCCATTTTGATTTTCTAATGGACATATTAAAAAACGCGACGTTATCATGTGTGATGTCTTAATAGYTAAAAGGCAACTAGAAGAAGTAGCTACGCCACTTGTCTTAGAATCCGTGCTTCAAGGCTGGCCTTATGAAACTTGTTTTGTCATATACTATTTTCAAACACTAATATCASTACTATCACATACTGTTTCTATGGTATATTTAACTTACCTTCTATCTTGCCGATATTAATATACGCTCTTCTAACGAGTGGTTTTTTTTAATTTGGAGTCAAAGCTATCCATGAAAGTTCCATTGTGAACGAACCATCGTATCGAAAGTTATTAATTTGACATTTGACACTTTGCCGGCCGTATTAAAAATTGTGGTCCGTTCACAACACACTCATATCACCGCCAACTATGACGCCAAATTTAAATAAACACTCATTATAAAATACATTCGTCGTAAATGACAACGTACTTTATAAGTACATAAAATACACTTATCTTGGCAATTTGTTCAATTTGACGTTATTTTGACAAATTTCTTTACAACAATTTTTGAGTGTAGTAAAATATCTCATTCAATATTAGTGTTGGAAAAAAAAATGAAGACAACACAAGTTTTATAGTTGAAAAATCTCGATCCATTAAATCCTCGCTCCCTAAGGGTGGTTCGAATTTAAAGTACGAGCTCGATTTTTAAACTGTCTATAAAGCTCTTGTTGTCTTAATAGCTATGAATTTGAATTTTGAAACAAAATTAAATAAAAGAGTGCCTTCAATATTAATATGTCGAAAGAAATTTCAAGAAGTTACGTTTTGTAGACGCCAAATGAAGTAATATCTCGTATCATTCGTCATCTTCATGAATATAAACGGTACAGACAGGCACGAAAAAACTAAATTTCTCAAGCTTCTCCGGATCATGAATATTTTATTAAAAAAATCGACAGTAAAACTCGTGATTTTATTAAACAAATAGTCACAAGACCTGCAAGACTCACGTGTGCAATCCTGCAAACATCCAATCCAGTGGATGCTGGATGTATCAAGAAAAAATAGTCAGCTGTTTGCGATTGCATTTTAATTAAAATAACAGTACATGAAGAATTTGCATTTCTATATCACATCAGTAAACAAAACCGTAAGCACGTGACACGTGACACGTGTTTATTATTTGTTTCCAGATTATAACAATTGACAAGTCTGACCGAGATCAAGATCCGGACTAAATTAGCAAAAACTTAAGCAAAGGTTACATTTATTTTCTTTTATGTGAAGTGTCAAAAGGGGTTTTTAAATGAGTCAATGGCTCCCCGCGGCGTGTTCCTGCCAGTAGTTGATCACCAAACCGCAACTTTCCCAATTTCCCCAACTGCTCCTCAAGTTCCGACTTTTTCGGTTGTTTCCTGAAAACCGGCTCCTTTTACGTGACCGTCTCCACTCGCGGACCGCGTCACTGTGGTTTACCATACGACCAGGAAATTTTTTCTTCACTCCTCTCCCATGTATATAAATTTGCCAAAAGCACCAAACTGTTCAGTTTTGATCTGTGCTTCGTGTAATTGAGATCAAAGCGCGATTTCCCACGATTTGTCACACTATCTGATATCGCGACCGTCGTGAGAAAAACCGGAAGAAAAATAAACGATGAATGTGGCGAAAGAAAACATCAAGAATGTCGCAGTCCGGACGAGAAATTATGCCAACGGGAACCGGGACATCTACGATACGTTACATAAAACAGCAGAAGGGGTAAAGTTTTTATTTTTGTTTGCAGTTTTGACAAATTTAGATTAATTCTAGTTTGTGAATGGGATTTGTTTTGAGCACAGGTCTTGAAATATTTGTAACATTTTGGTGCATTTGGTGCTACACTGTAACGAATTTTTACGGTTGGATGGTGGCGGACACTATATAGATTTTTTAATAAAATACTGAAAGCATCCAAGACACCGTTATTAAAAAATGTTGTCTTTTTGACCGCAACGACGTTCTTTAATGGCTCCGAGAAAATCTCTCGGACAATAGACATAAATAACTTTGTTTAAAATTGTTTCCAACATTTATGTTTCTGGATCAACGTGCAATTCTTGTATTTTTATTTTAGCGCAGTTGACGAAAAATTTGAATTTAAATTGATAATAAATACAACATGGAAATGAGTTGGAAATGAATCAGTAAATGAGCAGGAAGTTTTAAATATTATCAAAACTCCATTAAAAACAATAACTAAATGCACCTAAAATAAAGATAAACGATTGCAAAAATATAAAAAAGGGTCTAAGTTTTAATTAAAAGGGATATTTTGCTTAAAAATATTTGAAAACCATCACTTTTTTGTCAAGATTATAATGTCCCATCTAAACTAAGACTTTCTCGGTTCATATCTTTGTTATTAATAAAATAGAGATAAGTAACAAAAATAGTTATAGGTACATTAAAATTCTACTTTAAAAAAATAAAATTTAACATTGTGTGACTGTGTTTTATATAATTATCTTAACAAAATTTAATCTAAACAATTTTTTCTATAACTCTTTAAATTAAAAAAAGTATACCAAAAAATTTCTAACATTTGACTTATGCGGTACCCAAATTGCTCGAAAATAGCTTAAATTGCATTAGTTTCGGTCAAATACGTTGAACTGCAACAATTTCTTACTTAAAAACAACAGTTTATGGGCCTGTGATAGCCAAAGTATTGCATAAAATGTCGCCAAAAAACAGTGTCATAAAATTGAATTTTATGCAACTGTTTTCAGTTGCACAAAATGCTTATTGTGACACCGAAATAGAATAACTGTTTTTCAAAAATAAAAAAAACAAAGAATTCTCATATTTTGGTTTTTCTTTAATTATTTCTTGTAATTACCCTATAATCCAATTTTGTAAATGTACAGTTCCTCTGAAAATTCATTTTGTGAGCGACGTTATTCGTTTCAGAGTATTCGTACCAAACAATCTTTCGATACACAAATTCGAATGGTTTTTTCTTTTTTCTTTGAGTTGATTACACCCTTTAGAACTGAAGATTTTAACAAAAAAGAAATAATGAAAATTCACTGTTTTATTAAATAGTGATATTATGAATGACAGCATGTTATAATTCATATCCAACTTTTTGTTACGTATGCATTCATAACAAAAAATGTATTCTAGAACAAATTACCCTGTAGGTAAATGTTACATTAATGAAAATTTATAAAATTAATTATTGAAATTAATTCTCCTCTCATTATCAAGTTTACAAAAAATATTCTCTGAAAAATTTTAAAAGCCTGCGAAAACTGGATAAAACCGCAAATGACAGTCAAACTCATATAAGCATTTAATTAAAGTTTCTAACATCTTAAAATGCCTTAATTAAATATTTGTCTTGAATCGAATTTTCCCAGTTTCTATAAAAATATTATAAGGTAAATTGAGAACATTAGAAGCGTAATAATAACAGAGAATATCCAACAAAAGGACCCTCAAGTCGGATAAAAAAAACATTTTTTATCACCGCTTTACGACATCATTTTTAATGTCAACGTCTCGTTGGTTTAGAAATACCTACGTCAAAAATTTTTGTTACTTTCATCTGCTCTTTTGTTTCATTCCTTTATGAATTTTTTTATCATTTATATTATTTGATTATTTCTTATTAACATTTTATTCTCTCATTTAGCAGAAACGTCGCCTTTTAGTATCCCAAAATCAATTCAATCTGTCGGAACCAACAAATAAAAATTAATAACCCTATTAAGTGAATTAACCCTCGCAGAAAGTTGATTGAAAGCAACCACTTTTGCACGCCAAAACCTTTATTTTTTTAAATTCTCTGTCTCACGACATGATCATAGAGAATAACGTGGTCGTAAATATCCGATTCGACGCGTTTCCTGGTGGTGTTGGCGCCGGGATCTTGCGAGGGATCCACACAGATGATCCTCCTGTCGTACCTGTTCTGGAAGACGAGTCCTTTAACCGGATCGACGCACACCTGCAAACATCCCGATTAATTGCTATTCAAATTGAGCTTAACTAAAGCCAATAAATTTTTTTGCGTCATGTTGTTCAACATTTCTATTAGTTGATGAAATGGCAGCTGCAACTTTTCGCATCGCAATTTGTAGGAACTAGACTCATCCATTATTATCTTCACTCGCATCTCTGAGATTAAGTAACAATTTTTCGCATTATCGCGTGTCGAGAACGATCGGCTGTTACTTGGTGAGAACGGCCATTATACACCCGAAACTCATCATTTGTTTGATTTATTATGAGGAAAAACGTTGCGAGTCGTTGCGATTTATAAACCCATCGATTGGCACGGTAGTAAACAAATACCGCATTTTTATGAATATTCATACCGGAACGCAAAATAGCAACCGTGCTTTATCTCGCCCCCGTCTGAAATATTTAATCGCTTCCCGATAATTCGATAATTATCTCGGGTCGCGATAAATCCTCCTCTGAAGGAAAAACTGTCGGTTCGTTGCTCTTCCAGTATGGGGAAATTACATAGTTCGCGAAATTCGGAAAGGCGATGAGTTATGGAAGCGACTTACCTTGTAATTAATCGAGTTGTTCGACATAGTTTTTCCTAATTTCCAATGATAATATCCCAAGTCGGTAGGTTGCGGAAGTACTTGTTGGCCCTCTGCGAAAATTAAAGAGATCAAGCGTCAGCAGGAATTAATTAAGGGCTACTATGAAAATGGGGGCTGACTTTTCTTTGAATTTAGATTAGGTTCGAAGTTCATGGCGTTGCACTTTATTAAAACAAATATTTCATCTGGTATTTGACGTTTATTGAATGAAAAATTGGGGGAAGTAAACAATTGAAACTTGGTGATTCGGGAATAATTGTGTACCATGTGACACCGAGTTCAACGGTTCCTACTGCAGATACTGGGATTTTAATAAATATTTGCCCAGATTTTTAACTTTCTGATCAGAGTCGTCTCTGATTTTAAAACTAAATTGCAACACTAATAACGCATTTAAGCTTCGATTTTTAAGATTCATTATTTAAGAATTAACGGATTATTTTACAGAATTTTCCAATTTATACTTCTAAATTAACCAAAAAGTAATTTTAGGATACACTAATTATTCAAATCTCGCATTTTACACATTTGTCAAATTAGTGATAATTCCTGGCAATCTATAGGATGTGTCAGAACTCGCGCCCTAGAGAAAAATTTTAAGTAAGATAAAATACCAAGAACATGGAAAAAATGTTTAAAAAATTCTGTTACAAAATTCTGACTTTTATTTTTTGACATTTGACATTTTTTATGTCTATTTAATGATAGTGATGATTTTGTATATGTTTTTTTATAGTAATTATTTAGTAAAGGTACAAAAATGTTGCCAACAAAAGCCACAAATAAGATTAAACAAAGTTACAATTTAGGATACAGCTTACAGCTTCATTATTTCCTCGTCTAATAGCCTGTTGCAAATTTTTTTATAGAAATAAATAATTCAATAAATAGAGTCAAAGTGCAAAATTTAAACTTTCATAACTTCAAAATTTTTATAGATTCTTTGAATTTTTTTAACATTTTTTTCATGTTCCTGGTATCTTACTTTACATGGCACTTTTCTCTGGAGCGCAAGTGTTGGCGCATTCTGTATAATAATGGATAGTGAAGATGAGTTTCTTTTTGAGATGCTTTTTATGATTTCTTATGTTGTTTATCCCATAAAAGACTAAATAATGTTCTAACAGTTTCGACGAGTGCAGCCTTGTCCATTTTTATTTTTATTATTTCAGAGAAAAGTTTCAAATTTCAAATTTGATTAATGTCAATAATGAAAAATTCTGATTTTGGCATCACCGATTTTATCAATTTCATTTATCATTTAACGTAAAAAGTTAAAAGTTGTTGAAATTGATCTTGTTAAATGTAAATTTTTAAATTAAATGTTAAATGATAAATCTTAAAAATGGAAGCATAAATTCTCCATAAAAACAGACAGAAAATAAAGTTTGACATGTCTCGTATCTGTCTTTATATTGCCGAGATCACAGGCCACTCTGATAAGTAATTTATTTGAACGCACAGTATTATTAATAAAACACGTTGCTTTAAATTAAATTGCACTTTATTTTTCTTTTCTTTGTAGTTTTTTATTATTATTATTACATATTATTCATATTTATAAACTTAAGTTTTTGCAACTTATTTCACAAATATTTATTTTGAACCCCCACCAATAATTAACAACTAAAAAATCTCAAATAGGTATCTTAACTTTTGCAATTATAAACTTTCGCTGCTGTGTAGTTTAATTTCTTTGTTATATACCATCCTGCAATCTGCATCACTCCAACGGAGTTGGTGAAAAAAGAAAAAACGCGGTTATAACATTCAAATAACACAGCCTGCAGCGGACTATCTTTTTAAATTTTTAAAATGGCGGATCATTGATTAAACATTGTTGAAAATGAAAAAATACGTTCTATATGAAAAAAATCGAATTAAACAAAAGTTTGTGTATCTAACTCAGCAGTAAAAAATAGATAAACCGAAGTTTAAACATTCTCATTTTGCAGGATCGAGAAAATACCAACTCTTCGATCCACTTTATGATTTTAATTAATTGAAAAACTTTTCTGACTCGTACATTTTTAATAAAAATTGTCAAGGCTTAATGCAACCATTTTAGATGTTTAAGAAAAATGAGAATTTATACAAAATAAATCTGTATTGTCAGTTTCATCATTATTTTTGTACAGGCTGTTCCACAAATAACCACAAGTGGGACAACCTTTAACAACTTTTTTTTCTATTGAAAAATTCTGGGAAATTTTTCATGGTGTGTGTAAAAAAACGCCACCTTAATGCATTATTATAGTAAGTTTGCAACGTTAGCAAATAATTCTTTTGTTTGCATACATTATACTTCATTAAGGAAAGGCGTCTGCGTAACATTAGATGTGTTATCTTTAGTTTCAACGTCATCAGCGATTTTACCTCTAAAAAACGGCTTCCAGTCCTGATTCGAAAGCCTGTGTGCATAGTCTATATACCCTGAAACCTCAAACCCCTTTTTCGTTTGGTACCTAAGAAAGATAATCGTCTGCAAGCACTTAATCACCCTTTCTGCCCTTTGTTACGCCTCACCGAAAGTATGCCGACTCTATTCGGCCGTTCCCTGATCGCTAACTCCTTCTGGATAGGATCGCCGCCGGCGATACCCTCGCTGGCTAACTCGTACGGCTTGTAATCGGGGTAAAGATAAGCGATGACTGCGGCTAATCGCTTCTCGAACTGCTGTCGACTCAACGTCTCTCCGGAACTCCTACGGGAAACGAGCAATTTCTGGATTTACAAGTCAAGGAAGTCTACCTGTAACCGAGTTCGGCGATGGTTCGTGCCGCGACTGTGTCCTGGAGATAACAACGATCTTGTTCGGTTATTAACGAGTCCAGATAGTCCTCGTAAGTTTCAAACTGGAGCAAGCGGCGGTCGGCCTCGATTTGGGGCGTTGAAGTGGCGGTAATGTGAGCCATTGTGACGGGGTTTTGATGGATTTTGACAACGCCAAAGCTCACTTAGCCAACAGAATACAAATTTTTGTAATTATTCAAATTTTAGAAGATTTGTGGAAATTTTCGGGTTTTTTGTCATTACAAACATTTTCCAAACTTAAAAATAACCAAAAAGATAAAGAAAAGGCCTCAGAAATTTTCTAAAATAAATAATATCCAATTTGATATTTTTTTATTTGTTAGCAAGTGTGTACCTACTATACGAGTACATACTTAGAAAATAAAAAAAACATCCTTAATCAAGAATGTTTTTCAACTTTTTAGTTTTATTTAAAATTATTACATTTATTTTGTACTCAATGTTAAAGGGTGCTTTTATCAATTAATTTCAGTAGATAAAGTAGTCTTTTATCGTCTAGTGAAATAAAGTAATTTTTATCTATCTACTGTTTATATTCTTTATTTTGTACAAGAGATTCAGGTAGGTGAGTACAAAATAAAACGAAAATACACGACGATAAAGATTATTTATCTACTCGTGAAAAAAGTCCACTCGTTTCTTCTTCACTCGTAAACTTAACCTTTTCGCTCGTTGATAAACATTTTCTTTATCGTCTTGTATAATAAATAACTCAATTTTGGTGTATTTTTTATGGGTGATGGCCTTTTTTAATACGCTAAACAAAATATCGTCTACGTATAAAGAATGACATACATAAGTATATGTTACATGTTTATAAACCTAGCTTCTCCAGCGATAGATTAGACTTTTACAAACTTTATTCTTTGTTTTTTTTTTGGTAATTTTAACTTTTTCCGCGTCAGGGAAAGAACTATAAATATGTTAAAAATTATTCTTTTTGAATCTTTTGCAACTTTTTACTCATTATTCACAAAGATACTATAACTGAAAAAGCGAATTTCGTAAGGGCGCTTTGTGTTAAAAGCATAATCTTAAATAAATCACATAAAAAAGTGTCTAAAAATGTAATTTGAGTTTTACTTCTGGTATCATGAAAATATTGAGTTAATGATGTACTACATTAACTACATTATTGTCTTTAATCCTATTTTCTTCCATTACTCCTGAGGATGCCACATCCATGGTCGGCGAAACATCGAGTATTAAACACTTGACGCAATTTTCTCACGGAAAAAGTAATTTTTGTACTGATTCTGTTTGTTCTAATGTAACAAAAATCCATCAACAGATAAATTGTATAACGCCCTGAATATCTGTTTCTCTTTCTTATTATTCGTTTCTTTCTTTTTAATTGATCTTTTATTGATGTTTGTCATGTAGATCAGAGTTATGTTATCATAATTATCTTGTTTCAAAATAAATTTGCAATTTAAATGTAAGATAATTTATCATTACAACTTTTAAAAATTCAATGTTACCCTCATACTAAATGGACTGTGGAGCTAAACTGGCAGAGGAAACGAGTTTTTCCAATAATTTCCAAGCCATCGGCAAATTTATTAAATTCGACTGCAAGGAGAAACATATAAACACTTTATTTACTGAAAAATTTATGAAAATTTAGTTTTTCTTACGTAAAATGAAAGGGAAATTCACATATGTTAAAAGCGATTGACATTATTGGAAATAAATAATGGAAATTTAGTTATGATTGGAAAAAGAAAATTGTAAGAAGTTGAAGTGTTTTATATTTTGTTTTATTAGCAACAGTTAGTAAAAAACACTATACTATAGTAAAAAATTGTATGTGATTTTTGATTTTTTCAGAACACCGTGTGCAGCAACAATGTTTGTTTGGGCAGCATGATGGCGCTCCCTTTACGCAACGAAATCAGGACCCCCCAAGAAATCCTAAAACACGCTAAGGACTTTCTGGATCAATATTTCACGTCGATCAGACGGTAAGTGGTCTAGACAGTTCCTTGCCTCTCAGATCAATGAAAGTGGTCAAAATCAAAGTTTTTCAACAAGCTGTCGTTCTAAACCAGTTTGTTGGCGAACTAAAGGGGTAATAATCCGTGTCGAGGGATCACCGGCGACCCGTTTCACGGTCGACTGATGGTGTCACGTCCTGTGACACTGTCCTTAGAGTCGTAGGGAGTTCCCCGAAGCGGGATATCGCATTCCCAATCGGTTACTTTCAAGCTCGACTCCCCCAAGCCTTATAAAAATCGTACGTTGACACATCGACACCACCCATCTAACAGGCCACAGTGGAATTCCGATTATTTCGAACATCCCTTGCGAGAATGAATCGAATTTAAATTCTCGTTTGATTTGTTCAAAAAAAAGGATATATGTCTTGAAGTTCAGACAAGAATTTCAATCAAAAGCTTGCGAGATTTTTCGGATATTCTTAACCGGATCGGCGATAAAGCATGTCCGCCGACACTTGCTGATCAGCGTTTCTCGAGTAACGACTAACGTAATTATCGGCCGTCGTGGCACGAATTTTTGCTTATTTTTAGAACGATTCCGGTCGCGGACTCATTCATCATCATTTTCTGTGGCGAAATTACCGAATCATTGACGATAGACTATTTTAAAACATGTCGACCTGTTTCACATCAATGTTTCAACGTCGACAATCGATTGTTATGCTCGTGACTTGGACCAACGTGGATTAATTCCACCAGGGACACAAATGTGGCCCAAATGAGCAAAAACACACACCTCAACAACTTAATCGAGAAAATTTGCACCGTTTTAGTAGCAAAAACGAGTGAAATATGAATGAATACATTGAAATTTTTGCGTATATAGTCCGTATTTTGTTGACCCAGAAACGAAATTATTGCGGTAGGGCTAGAGTATAAGTTAGCCAAGGTTAAGGAGAGAGGATCGATGGGGTCATTTGGTCCTTTTTTGAATAGAAACGTAACCGGTAAGTAATAAACAGTCACGAGGGAGCCGTCAATTTCCAGTCCGCGTATGATATGATAGCATAATCCTCTCAAACGCAAACATTTTCAACACTTAACAAACCACCTATGCTTATGACAAACCAATTCACTCAAATCAAAGCCAATTCATTTCAAATCTGCGTCAGCCTGCCCTTATCCATCCGAAATAAAAGTCGGGGGTGGAAATGTGTGGCGAAAAACAACATTATATAAGGGGCGGATCAACCAAACGGAAAAATCCGCACCTTGAGCGTAATAAAACGCAGAATTTTTCACAAGCATTTACACGTTGTCATTACGGCGTGTAAAATTATGCTAAACGAAAGTTATTGCTGTAATAAAAAATCCGTTTAAACAATAAGTTTGGGGTGACATGGAGCGAGAATTATTGGCGTTTTTTATGTTTTATTGTGTGTGTTTTCGGAAGCGACGGGGAAATTTATTAAGTAATTCCGAAAGGGTTGCAAGCAGAGGTCGCAGTGGAGATAAATTAACCTTAAGAATGTGATAGTGCGAGATTAAGGCAGCGGATGTAAATTTCAAGGGAGAAAGCGAAACGTTGACCACGGGAGGAAATTAGGAGAATTATTAAAATTTAAGCGAAATAACTTGAAGTATTAGCAGAGAGATAATTGTTCATTTTCTCCCTCGAGAAACAAGCAAATTACCGAGTAACTTGCGAATTTTTTCTAGCCCGGAGCAAAAACTCCCCATATATTCCGATCTTCGCTCCGGGCCTCTTTCAACCCAAATTTAAAATCGAAACGAGTTGAGGAATCTCCGCGTCTTAATTAAACGGTCGAAAAACATCGAATTTTCTACGTGCATGCCTCTCGGTACGCGTAATTAAATCCGGCGCGACAAGAAATTTTTGTTGCGGCTGGAAGTGTGAGGGTGAACAAATAACCGGACCAGCATTGTTCCCGCCACAAAGCGCCTCTCCCACTTAATTCAGATAGCACATCGATTCTAGTCGAGTTATTACAAAGGGTTTTTGCCACAGGGCCAACAGTCCCGCGCACACTTCTCGATGGGAGCAAGTCCAGAAGGAAGTCAACACCACCGGGACCTACCACCTCACCGAAACCGAACTCATCTACGGAGCCAAACTGGGCTGGAGGAACGCTGTTAGGTGCATCGGAAGGATCCAGTGGTCTAAATTGCAAGTAAGTGGTTTGTGCGCGTTTACACAGCTATTCAGGTTGGAACTAAGTGTTTGAGTTCGCTTTCAATAACAAAGGGTCGCTTCGGAGTTCTTTAGCAGGATGGGATAACAAAGCGCGGCCCTAGAGGCCGGATGTCCGACCAAAACTTTAAAAATACCCAATGCACAGGGCATTTTCGATGCTCGTAAGAAAACATTTACAACCAAAAAAACGAATAATATGATTTCTTGAGGAAAAAAATTTGGTTGATATTTTAGTGAAACATTTAAAAATTCATATTTTTGGTGTTATACAAAATACACATTTGGAATAAAAGTAAATAAAAATAAAAATTAAAAAAAATAAATGATCTAAGCAAAACTCTCTAACTCAACGAAAAATCTATTTGAACGCAGGACCTTTAGTCAATTAATTTTTGAAAAAAGGTTTTTATAGAAAAACGGGAGGCAAATCAAACTGAAGAGATAGGACAGTTGGAAAAACCATAAAAAATTCTGCCATCTCGCATTGAGGTATGCGCTTCTTGTGCCCATGTGGCTCTGTTGAAAGGCTGGCCTCTTGCAATAACACGGCCATTAAGCATCGTTTTCCCGCTGTAAAGAAGCAATTCCGAGTTTATCTGGTAGAGTAGGGCGGCGATGCGGCAGGATCTCGGTTAGATTAAAAGAGTCTTCGAATAAACTAAGCGTGAAAATCGTCAAGTCAACTCGAGCGTTCCTGTAGTATAAAGCAAACAAGAGATTCGTCATATTGACGTTCAGATTTGACTTGATTAGCCTGAATCAGCATCGCGAAAAGGCCTCTTGGAAAAATCAGTTCGATGCGGGGCACGTCCTCGGATTAAACAAGACGAGATGGTTATGATGCATATTACCAGCCGTAATGGGATTACCACCGCTAAGCTTGCAGGATTTTTTTCTTCTTCGGGCATTTGTAAGAATCCCGGTGAAAATCTGGAGACAGCTGCGGTCTCATACATATTCCGAACAGTGCGATAAACACAAGACCGCGTGAAGTGGGGGCGGCGTATAATAACTCGCTGAGAAGTTGTCCACGGCGATTATGCAACGAGAGATTCAAGTAAATGCTGGCATCTTGCCACCAAAAAGAGTCTCTTCAAGACATCTACCACGAACACAGGCTTGTTCAGTTTCGCGAAATGTGCCCTAGGATTATAATTTCCGCATTAGCACAACACTAGAGCCAGAAATCATCATAATATAATCCGAACACTTGGAAAAAATTCTTTCCCACAAAAACAATAACTTTGGGTTTGATTCAACTGTTTTAAGGGGGTATCTGTCCAATTTCTAAAAATTTTATAAATAATTTACCGTTTTTTGGCAACTCACACGAGAAGTATGTAATTAATCAGTTCAGAGTAATCGTGAAGAAGAAAATGGATAGAAAATACTCAAAAAGCAATGTTTTTCTTTCGAATTCGTATTAAAACTGGTTTAGTTATGGGACGCATTTTTGTTGATTTGATGTTAACTTACAGTAGCTAGAAAAAAACAAATCTAACTACTTTTAAAGTTTGTAGAAAATTTAAAAGTTTCATCATTAAATAAGATTAAAAAGAAGAAAATTCTTTCTTCTAGTCTGCATTTTTTTATGAAACATTGCTTGATGCCAAATTAATGAAGACTATTTTGGCTTTCAGAAGTATTGTTATTTAAAAGAAAAAACACCAAATTTTTATTAAATGTTTTAGACAGATACCCAAAAATTGTTAAAAAAATTTAATTGTTTATTATCCTCAATATATACAGGTTGTCCCAGCGAGTTGAAAAAGTTCATTACTGACCTTTAAATGGTTAAATTAAAAAAATTATGTATAGGACATTGATAGATACTAAGATTAGTATCTTCTTTGCAGAAGTAAGAAAAAATTTGTTCTAGCTGTCTTAGTTTTTGTGTAATAGGTGCAACGTCTTATTTTTAAAACTAAGCAAAATCGACCAAGTTTAGCTTAAAAACATTGTCATAAAAATCTACAGCCAAAAACGCTAAGAAACATTTGGTGTTTCATTTAAAAAAGCACAAGTTTGTATTGTAATTTATTTTTGAAACACGCTGTATAGTTGAAAATAATTTTAGGTGATGGACTAGATTAATATCTATCAATGTCCTATACAGGGTGCACCAGAACTCGCGCCCCAGAGAAAAGTAAGATCCCAGGAACATGGAAAAAATGTTAAAAAAATTTTATATATAAAAATTTCGAAGTTATGAGGGTTAAAGTTTGCACTTTGACTCTATTTATTTCTGTTGGAAAAATAATTTTTCAAGTTTTTTTGCTATAGGCTATTAAAAGAGGAAACAAGGAAGCTGTATCCTAAATTGTAACTCTGTTCAATGTTATTTGTGGCTTTTATTGGCAAAATTTTTGTCCCATTACTAAATAATTGTAAAAAAACATATACAAGATCATCAGTATCATTAAATAGATATAAAAAAATGTCAAATGTCAAGAAATAAATATCAAAATTTTTTGACAGAATTTTTTAAACATTTTTTCATGTTCCTGGTATCTTACCTTTCTTGAAAATTTTCTCTGGGGCTCGAGTTCTGGCGCACCCTGTATTTTTTAAATTTTACCATATAAAGGTCACTAATAGACTTTTTCAACTCGTTGGGACAGCCTGTATGTACTCCAAATAGATAATTTTTCACATCTCAATATCAAAACAGCATTAATTAGAAATACAAATAGTCCGCAAATTACAAAAGCGTAAAATAATGCAGCGCGTCTTGGAGTGGTGGCGGCTGCAGTGACAGATCTTATGAATTGGGGGTCTTAGGATCGATCGATCGGTTGAAAAATCCGCGTGATATGTTTTCCCTGATTAAATTTGTGTAGTGTCAGGTTGATCATGTCAGTGGCACGTTTACCAGAAGGGATGTTGTGTCAAGGATAGCAGACACACGCCGAGGATTACTGCAGTAACGTGGTGGGTATATCAGCAGAGCCGTGTAATTTTCTGTCTTAACATCGTTGGCATTCCTGAAGCACGCAATCTGCGGATTAACACCACAACTTGAAACAAAAGAAAATTTTCCAGAAGTTTATTATTGGTTCGATGAAAGAAAAATTCGTGTGTCGATTAGTTTGGGATTGTTTGCATGAGATGACGCTGAAATTTGCTTTCAGGTTTTCGACTGCCGTTATGTAACCACCACCAGCGGAATGTTCGAGGCGTTGTGCAACCACATCAAATACAGCACTAACAAAGGCAACATTCGGTAAGAATTGTCTCTTGGACTTGGAAAAAAAATCTGGTTAAACATTCAATCCGGAATAAAAAACACATCTGATACGGGCTAATTTAGATTTGAAAATTTCCTCGAGGAAAAAGTTGAGATTTCGTTAAGGAACTTTTTCCGATTTGGGGTTACACAGATGTTTTAATCATTTGATATTGTCAAACTGTCAGGGTGTCTGACTAATGGATTTACTGTCTTGTTATAAAAATTAATAGGACGTTGGAGGAGATACGCCCGAAAATTGCTAACTTAAATAAGCGGCAGTTATTGTGTTAGGGGCGGCAAATCGTAACAACTTTGTTCGAGATGTTATTTTTTCAGACGGGCCGAGCAAATTTTTCTCGTCTAATCTGTTTGATTAACTGCGGGAAAAATTCAATAAATTTTAATCCTGTGTTTGTTACTTTTTCATTTTTTGCCAATATCCATCGAAGTCCTTTTGGGATTCAGACCGAGTACAGGCCCGAGATTGAGCGCATAATTTCCATTCCACCTATTCATTCCCATCAACAATATCCACGGCCACATAATACAACTTTATCCATTCATGTTTATCGTCGACATTCAATTATAATTTTCTTCGGCTCAACGTCAAATATCCACCGGTGGTCTTATTGTAATTGAGAGAGGAACGAAAGCTATTGACATTTTTCGACGGAGATACACACACGTCTAACGGCTTTAGATAATAATGAAAAGCTATCCTTGCGACAATTATGAAAAATAAATATCTGCGGTGCTAAGAAAGATAAAGTTCCCCATTTCAACGATAAATTCCAGTATTCAGTAATCTATTCCCCTGTTTATACTCGGTACCATTCTGACAGCTTGTTTATACATATTAATGCCGAAATTACACTAAAGCACAAATCAACGAAACTAAGAGACAGCTCAAAGACGAAAGACGCACTTTCCTTTTGTTATATCTTCAACAACCTGGAAATTTTCGGAATGTTCCTTGATTTGATCGTTCGAATTGATTTTGTCGTCTTTCTATGTACATATTTATTGACTTGTTTTACAAGAAGCAGACGCTTTCTTGATTTGTTTTCCCAATATGGCTGTAAGTCATGCATCCGAAATAATTGAACGTCAAGAAACACCATTCTCAACATACCAAATCTTAATTACGTACCAGCATAACAGCACTAAAAGCAAGGGAAATAAATGAACCAAATTACTCCAAGTGAATTAGTATTAAACTACAAGAAACGATACTAAAACCTGCATTTATAAACTCTACTCAATTATCAGTTAAAGATGTTGAAAATGCAGAAATCAGTAAATAATTAAAAACCTGTGGCGAGTATTAAATTTTCAAAACACACTAACTAAGGGAAAATCATTATTAGGTACTATTTTCATTTTGTTATAACTAATAAATAAACTAAACAATTTCATTATTACTCCCTTAAATAAAATCAACGAATAAAATTTAAATTATCACTTTAACCGCTCCATGCAAAGTTTTTTGAGCGTCCCCCAGAATTTTAAAGTAACATGATTATAACATGAGATTTGAAACAATATTATTTTGAAAAAAAAAGTTACGCAGACCACAAATACAAAAGCGAATTTACAACTGAGTTTTGCTTAAAAAACACTTGCAATAACAAAATGCATTTCATTCATCTCAAGTGATTTCATAACAATAACAAATCATATTTGGGGTGCTACAGGGACATTTTTATAAACTCTGACCATAGCTTTAGGTTCAGTTTCAAAAACACAGATCAATCCATTGCTCTCCATTAATAATATACTCTCATTGGCGTGTCTACAATTTAAGAGCAACGAAATAAAAAGTTGTTTTATTTCAGTGAAAATGGTGATAAGACAAGCAGAAAAATTAAAGGCAGACGAAATATTAAATACTTTACAGTAAGAAATGAAGTTATAACAAAATTTTGTTGAAAACCATAATTTAAAATAATAAACAGAAAAGTAATTTTCGCTTAGCCTCATTTTTTAACTTTTTTTAAATACGCTTCCCATACGATTAAAAACAGAAAAAAAAGTGTAAAAGACAAAGTTGTAGAGAATTAATTCACACCATACATTTAACGATTTCACCCCTACAAACAGTCAAAGATGCTTTAGTAACGAAAACATTTCTGTTGGACCGATGATGGCGTATCTTAAGAAGCTATTTAAACCTAAACCGTTAAAGTTAGAGAAATGGTGTCGCGGACTTTTTTAAAGCAAATATAATTCTCTACAACTTTGTCCTTTACACAAAGTAAACAAGCGTCAAAATTTTTGCATTTTTCTGAATTTTTCTTTGCCGGAAATGAAATATTCATGGACATACAGCAAATTTAAAAATTGTCTAGCATAACAATTATAGAAAAGATTGGATGACAAAGTCATCTCTCGTATTTCATTATATTCTCCTTCTTGACATTGAGACTGATTTCTTTCTGAAGTAAACGTCCTATGTTCTTCCAGCACCGGTAAACCTTTGAATCTAGATTAGAATCGTATCAGAAAGCATTTCGTCCGTGAAATGAGGCCATTTGCATACAAAAAACACTGAGTTCGATTTAAGCGTCTGGAAAAAATTCTTAAACCTGATCATCTATATAAATTAAAAACCGTTTTGTTAAACCCAACTTGTTTCCATTAACGTTTGTGGATTAAGCCGAGTTTGTATTTAATTTAGCACCTGCGTCTCTAATTCATTTTTTCTTTAACTCATTTCCTGGCCACTTAAATAACTACTGCAGCTCAAAGGCTGTCGTTAATAATGCAACAAAGGCAGCTATTTATTTAGAAGCAGAAATGGGCGAGATGTGCCATCCAGACCATCTCGTAGGATTTTTGTTGTGTTAATTAAAGATGTCTCCTACTATTTTGTTAATTCAAGTTTTAATTAGTTTTCGGCGAAATGCCATCGCGAATTATTTGTAGTTAATTAAATGAGTCGTTTTCGGTTGTGTTGCTGTCATTTTTGACCATCATCTTGAATTTCCGCCCAAGAATACTAAAATCACTCTCGAGACTCGTTACGTGAGTAAATTGGAACGATTAAGACGCAATTTGATCACTGATTAAAAATTCGAAAGAGTGGCGGGAGCAAATTTTCATCCTACGGGGCGAATTTGTGAATTCCCGGAGGAATGCAACGCTCCAGTATTTGCAATTATAGATGCGGAATCTTGCAACACGTGAACAACTTCATTTTCACAACTAAATCCTGGCAAATACTCGCACATTCCAAAACCAATTTAGACACATAAGTTGCCGGGAAAAACATTGTAATCTGCGAAAATCCTTTAATAAATAAGCGAGTTGAGGAAAGTCGGTCTGAATTAAGTGAACCAGTTTTCCGCATAAATATGTGCGGCGAAAGAGATGTTTTTCTTTCGTTACATTTAATTCGCTTCTGTAAAGTAAATCCCATACAACAGCAGTTTATTATTTCAAACTTTCTAAGTTCTGAGATGAAATTATCGTTAAATTTTTATTAAAGAAAAAAATCTGTAGAATACGCTAAAAACTCAAAAAATAAAACTTGTGTTTCCGTTTTGTCGTATTTATGGATATTGTACAAAACTTTAAAAACCGTGACAATTTACAAAAGGACAAAAGCAGAGATTTCCATGATAGTAACGTAATTCGTGAAGAATCCACAAAAAACGGTTTTAAGTGAAATAAGCCACACTTGAATCATGTCGGCGATCCCAGACCCTTCCACATACTCCAGTCTCCCATCCATCAAAATTTAAAGCATTTCTGAAAGTTTCCATCGAAATTGGTGTCATTCCCGCGCGAACCGCACCATTTCACCCTAAAACCTCCTCTCCAAAACTGCGATTTTATGTAAACCATATGCAAAAGTCTGTCCGTGTAAAACGTTCCCGTCTACATTCTTCTCCAGGTCGGCAATAACGATCTTCCCCCAGAGAACCGACGGCCGTCACGATTTTAGAGTATGGAATCCCCAACTGTTGAGTTATGCCGGATACCGGCAGCCTGACGGGTCGATCCTCGGAGATCCCCTCAATGTCGAATTCACCGAAGTCTGTCTGCGACTGGGATGGCGGGGCCCCGGCACCAAGTGGGACATCCTCCCCTTGGTGTTGTCCGCCAACGGACACGACCCCGACTACTTCGACATCCCCTCCGAACTGATCTTCGAAGTCCCCCTCACGCACCCCACGTAAGTACCAACTCTGACGCTCTCCAAACTTTCTCAATAAACTTCCCAGGACAGGGCTGTAGGCACGATTTTGGATTTGAGTCAAACCAACTCTTGCAAACAAAAATTGCGTTATACCTACATACCTAGAGGAAAATATGCGAATTTCTTGAATTTTTGAAAGTGTACCTAGATAAATAGAAAATCAGCAATTTTATGTTGCAAAAACTTTCGGCAAATATCCTTTTCTAGACATAAATCATGGGCCGAATACATTTAGACTTAAGTAGACATTTTGAAACAAAAAATCTCGATATTTTTCTAATTTTAACGTTGGCAGACCAGCATATTACCATCCAAGAGATGAAATAATATGTATTACTGCTCATGAGATTTAATTATGTGTTTCCCAACCTTTAAAAGGTTAGTAATCGGTTAGTAATCAGTAAATTACATTWGTGATTGTGAATAAAATACTCTACGACTACGACTAGTTTTTGTTTCCGGACGYGGATCTTATAATAACACATCAATTTTTTGAGTGCTCGGGAATCACCCGAAGGGAGTTGTTTGAGGCTTGACAAAGGGGAGCTTTAATTCTCMTGAAGCCATTATGGCCATTATGAACGTGGTAYGTATGTACAAGGTTTTTCCTCGTATTAAATTACCAAGAATTAATTTTCAAATTATAGAAAAGTCACTATTTGAAGGTTTAAAATGTCAGAACTGTCAAAAAGCCGGACGTTAATAGAAAAGCGTGCTTTTAACAGCTCTGTGTGTTATTGACAACAATTGTAAACTCTTGAATGTTATTCGTTCCATAACAACACGAAACGACGAAAAACATTTTTTCGTAATCCCATATACTGTTATTTGAATTTAACGGAAGTGAAATGACAGATAAAAAGTTATTTTTAACAGCTTATCCGTCCGTTAAGGATTATAACGACCATCAGTCATTAAGAACCATAGTAACTGCCTTCATGATGTTGCAATTTATTTTGTAAAATCACAGAAATTACGAAATTTAAAACTTTGCTCCTCTCTAAGTTAGGAATAGGATTACGAAAAGTGTTAAACGACACACAGCCGATACCAAATAATAGGTTCGGTTGATTATAATTTATAAACCAAACAAAATTCAACCTCATCTGTTATTTGGTACAACTATAACATTTTATGTACCTACAACCACAAACTGTGTTTGCTTAGAAATGATCATTTTTGAGTTACGATTTTTTATGTTTTAAAAATCAAGATATTTTACCAGTGGCGTACTGAGGGCCCGTGTTCCATCATGGCTGTACGAGCCCCCACATCACCCACTATGGCAGTGTTAAAATTAATAATTATTTTTATATTATTCAAAAAAATATGTAGGAATAATAATTTGTAAAATAATATAAAAAGACATAATAATAAAAAAGATTCCACATTAGAAGTATTGGAAGTTCTGATAATGATATTTGTCAAAAAAATTGTATTTCCGGTTAATCGGAAGTGATTTTATTTAACAGAAAGCTATGCTTTTTATTGCGTTTTTGGATTTTCCGAGTAATTATTCTACGAGAGTTATCATCGATATTCCCTTCACCAAAGTCCAGCCGTTTTTGAGGTTTTGAAACTTTTAGAATTTTTTTGAATTTGAACCTACCTCTTCAAAAATGTATCTAACTCTGGAATTTTAAACTATTAGGTATAAAATCATATTTTAGCATTTAAAGAACAAATGATCGATCTTGTTTTTGATGGGGTCATAATTAAAAAAATTATTAACGAGCACCCAAAATTTAACGTTACGTTTCAGGAAAGTCAAATACTCACAAGTATTATTTTTAATGAAAGGCTCCTAATTTTTCTTCATTAAATGGACAGCTTAAGCAGACATAACGATTTTTTAGTTATCAGAACCTAATTTTAATAGATAATATAAAAAAAATATATTTTTTTTTAATTTGTAATAGGACAACGGAAAAGGTCCATACGGCCCCTTTGAGGCCCGGGCCCGTGTTCCGTGGAACCGACGGAACCCTGCTCAGTCCGCCACTGTATTTTACACACGATTTTATAGAACTTACGGTTTAAATTTAGAAAAATAAAAAAATATTTGCCTTTAGATATATTTTATTTTTAATTTAAAATTTCAACCCGATTTCGATCGGTATTCTTACTATTGTTAAGCAACTAGGGTATTTAAAAAATCGTAGACATCTAAATTTTCTTTTTGGTTCACGTAGATTGGAGTGGTTTGGAGACCTGGGCTTGAAGTGGTACGCCCTGCCGGCCGTGGCCAACATGATGTTCGACGTGGGGGGCCTCCAGTTCACCGCCGCCCCCTTCAATGGGTGGTACATGAGTACAGAAATCGGTTGCAGGAACATCTGTGACACGCACCGACTTAACATGCTCGAGCCTGTGGCCCTCGCTATGGGCCTAGACACCCGAACCCCAGTGACTCTCTGGAAGGACAAAGCCATGGTGGAAGTCAACGTGGCGGTGCTTCACAGTTTCCAAGCAAAGGGAGTAACGATAGTTGACCACCATACAGCCTCTGAGTCCTTCATGAAGCACCTGGAGAACGAAGTGAGACTCCGGAACGGCTGCCCTGCCGACTGGGTCTGGATCGTGCCACCCTTAAGTGGGTCGGCGACCCCGGTTTTCCACCAAGAGATGGCACTGTATTACTTGAAGCCGTCTTACGAGTATCAAGTGAGTGGAATTGGATTCGGGATAGAATCCTGGTAATAACTGTCATAAAACGCGTGAAATACACACTACAGGCGACGATTACCACTCTTGTACACACATTTTCGGGGTATTAAGGGATTTGGAGACGAAATGGACGTCAGATTTTGTTATTATTTGTCTCAACTGAAACGGACGTCAATGCCAAATCGATGGTTTTATCCAACAGCTTTAAAAAATTAATGCAAAGCACGTTCTCGGGGTGTAATGAGGGGTGATTTAGAGATGGAAGCTTATCGAAAAAACTGTCAAGGACAATTGGCACTACTTCATTGGCGTAAAGGCGTGATCGCAAAGGGAAGATAATTTGATTTAGTTTGGTACGGTATTGCATTAGAGAGGTGGTAATCTTATTAAAATCATACAAGTGTTCTGCATGAGATCAAACAGGATCATTTAAATAAAACAAAGTGTCTTCTTCATTTCGATTACTCGTACAATCCGTTAAAAAATTAGACAATATCGATTTTCGCTTATAAAAGGACTCTCGAAAGTGCAGATTAAAGCAAGTGACGGATATTTTTTGGAGTTTCTCGTAACAATTTTTTACCAATTTGCAATGACGTCAATCATTATGTATCATTACCGTTGCGTGTTTATGTTACGTTACGAATTACCGACCTCTACACAAAGAGCACCCTTTTTCGTGCTCTTTGTTGTTGCATCCCCATGAAAAATTCCATGTGAATAAATTGACGTTTCGGGTTAAAAAGCACACTTGATGAGCACTCATTTTTCTTCACAAAAAACATCCCTTGCGTCCACCCCATATGGGCGTTCCGCCGTACGATAATTAAGTGCAGTTTTTCCGAATCGACTGTCTTTTTTTCCCGATGGTGTTTTACATCAGCACTATTCGATTCCGCGGCCCTCTTGTGATATAAAATGTTCAAATTGCGTCGGCTTTTTCCAGCTTTGCACAAACAAATCGTAAAGAAATCCAATATGAGGCAGACGACATATAAATTTGGGGGATTTGGAGTCGAACAGTGAATAAATAAAAGGGATTTGAAAATGTTTAGGGCGTTGTTTGAAGAAGATTAATTATTATTTAAAAATTTTCATTAAAAAAAGGGTTTGGAGGAGGCATCCCTGGTGGGGATCGAACCCACGACCTTTGGATTAGAAGTCCAACGCGCTATCCACTGCGCCACAGGGACGTTCGTCAAAAATAGCTAAACCTTCGAATTAACTCTCAATTCTTTTATTAACCTTATTTCTTTTTTGTTTAATTTATATTATTCTCATATAACTTTAATTTTGTAACTCGTATTTCACAAAATAATTTTGTTCAATATTTGTAACGTTTATTACACTAAATCCACGTTTTTCTTTGGAATAATTAAAGCAGTGGCGTAACATTAGTTAAATAATAAAGGTCATTATTTTTTTTTAATTCAGGAATCTGCGTGGAAATGTCACGTGTGGAAAAAAGGCCGGGAATCCGGCAAAAGCAAAAAACCAAGACGTAAATTTCATTTCAAGCAAATAGCAAGGTAATGATAGTTAAATTTTGTGAGAAAAACTAATAAAGTGTTATATTAGGGCGGTTAAATTTACGTCAAAACTGTTTGGAAGAGCGCTTTCGCGCCGCATCAAAGCAACAATTTTATATGCCACTGAAACCGGAAAGTCTGAAAGTTACGCCAAAAAGTTGGTTGAAATTTTCGGACACGCATTCAACGCCCAAGTCTACTGCATGTCCGACTACGATATATCGAGTATAGAACATGAAGCACTTCTCCTGGTTGTCACTTCAACTTTTGGTAACGGCGATCCTCCAGAAAACGGAGAAGAGTTTGCCAAAAACTTGTACACACTGAAGTTAAGCGAAAACGGAATTTCGAACGATGACGCAACCAAACTCAGGTAATTAAAATTAACACTAAATTAACGTTTCAAAGCTTTACTAATTTCACAATTAACGGTGGCGGTTTAATCTTTGCTTTTCTCATGGTGGCGGCTCAGCATGACCATGGCTACATCAAAATCCTTCATTAAAGCAAATAGCCAAAGCGAGATCGCTACTGCCAAAAAGTTAGATCGCTTGGATTCGTTGAGAGGATCTGTTAGCGAACCGTTATTGGAAGACACTTTCGGACCTCTCAGCAACGTCAGGTAAATGCGGCTTTTTGGCTTTCAGCTTCTATGATCCTAGTAGAATACACAAATAACATAAGTTTATCAAGGTTTGCAGTTTTCGCCCTTGGTTCGAGCGCTTATCCCAACTTTTGCGCCTTTGGGAAGTACGTCGATAATCTTTTAGGCGAATTGGGGGGCGAAAGGTTGTGCAAAATGGCCTCCGGGGATGAAATGTGCGGCCAGGAACAAGCTTTTAGGAAATGGGCACCACAAATATTCAAAGTATTATTTCACTTAAAACCTAGACGCGTTCCCTTTCACTTCAAATTTCAGGTTGCTTGCGAAACTTTCTGCCTTGATGATGACGACACTCTCCTGGAAGCCACAATGACCCTCCAAAGTGATTCCTTAACTTCGCAAACCGTCAGATTTGTCTCCTCCAAAGCCGAAAATATCACAACCGCACTGTCAAAGTGTCATAACAAAAAAGTCTACTCTAGTCGCCTCTTACGCCGAACAAACCTCCACGGGGAAAAATCTTCAAGAGCAACGCTCCTCCTTGAATTCGAAAACAACCTTTCGTATAAACCTGGTGACCACTTAGGGGTGTATGCAATTAACAGACCCGAACTCGTGGATAAAATTATCGACCGATTGAAAGGAGTTGATGATCCTGACGCTCCCATTGAACTCCAAATCCTCAAAGAAACGCACACTTCAAACGGCGTCATGAAGACCTGGACTCCACATGAACGCCTCCCTACTTGCTCGTTGAGGACCCTCTTGTCAAGGTTTCTGGATATAACAACTCCCCCAACCCCCAATTTACTCCAACACTTTGCTTCCATCGCCACGGATCAAGAGGATCAGCGCAAACTTGAACTTTTAGCCACAGACTCTGCAGCTTACGAAGACTGGCGCCACTGGCGGTATCCAAATCTCCTTGAAGTCCTTGAGGAATTTTCTTCAGTCTCGCCCCACGCTCCCCTCCTTATAGCACAGTTGAGTATCCTCCAACCACGATTCTACTCGATTTCCTCGAGCCCAGCTTTGCATCCCAACGAAGTGCATTTAACAGTAGCTGTGGTAGTTTACAGAACACAAGATGGGGAAGGCCCCGTTCATTACGGGGTATGTTCTAACTACCTCCAGGACGTTCCTGTAGGACAAGAAGTGTGTTTTTTTGTTAGAACAGCCCCTAATTTCCATTTACCCAACGATCCTATGACTCCCATTATCCTAGTGGGACCCGGGACGGGAATAGCCCCTTTTCGAGCATTCTGGCAACACAGATTAGCTCAAGTGTTAACAGGGAAGAAAGTTGGGAAAATCTGGCTGTTTTTCGGCTGTCGCACAAATGACTTGGACTTGTACAAAGAGGAGAAAAACGAAATGTTACGAAGAAAAGTTTTGGATAAAGTGTTTTTGGCCTTGTCACGAGAACCAAATGTTCCTAAAGTAAGTCTAAAGAATTTTTCACAAATTGTTTTACTTGTGTCTTTCAGACGTATGTACAAAATTTGGCGCTGAAAGAAGCCGACGAAATTTATAGAATACTAGTCTTGGAAAAAGGACACTTCTATGTTTGTGGAGACTGTACAATGGCTGAACATGTCTACCAAACATTGAAAAATATAATTCAGAAATATGGAGCCATGAGTGAGAAACAAGCAGAGGAAAAAATTTTGTCGCTGAGGGTAAGGTTTAGGAATTTTATTGTTGAGTGGTTGTAACAAGGATTGTAGGATGAGAACCGGTATCATGAGGATATATTTGGGATTACTTTAAGGACTGCTGAAGTACATAACAGATCAAGAGAGTCGGCGAGGATTCGAATGGCATCTGAACCTTAACACCATTTAAATTTATAAAATTTGTTGTTGTCGATAATTGTTTTTATATAAAATTATGTACAAAAAATGTTTGGAAGAAAAAATATCTTCTTGTGACTTTTCTCTACTTATAGCACAAACTCAAGGTTATGCACAATTAAACTTCCATATTTTAATGTATTAGGACTTTATATCGTTTTATCTTGTGATTTAATGCTTCTATAACTCACATTGTTGTTGCAAAGGAAAAAATGAATTTATCATCGAATTTATGTAAACTAATACGATGTTTCGATTCAAATAAAAGTGATTACTTAGCTTCGTTTTTTTTAACAACTATTTTATTATACAACATTTACAAGCACAAAATTAACTATGTTACAAAAATAAATCAAAAGGATTAAAATTGTTTTTTTTTATAAAATATGACGACTAAGCGTAGAGGCTCCTCCTGTATGAATTCTTAATGGAACTGACTAGACAAAAGGCAAACAATGCACCAAACAGCTGAAACAAAAATGTCAAGTTTGGTAAAATAAATTTCGGTGTAGGTATTTGTACCTCTACTAAGGCGATTCCAAGGACTACAGCACCGAAAATTTTTGACTTATCAACCATAAAATCGTAAAGTGAATTGACGCAACCGTTATGGTAGTACGTTTCATAGTCCCTTTTTACACATGGCCGAGTTTCTTCTAAGCAGCAAGAGTTGGGAAGCGTAGCATTTTTGTGTTCGTCTGGTCCATTAAGACCACAACAATGCAACTAAAAATTGATTTGGATCAGAACTAAGAACCCAAACCAAAAAAGGAACATGCAAATAAAAAGGCTCCTTTCATATCTGACCTAAATCAATAATAAAATTTCGTACCAAAATTATTTTATTGTACTTGAAACGTTTTGTAACAAATGGAATGGTTAAATGTGTCTTAAACTACAATATAAAAACAACTAAACTTAAAATTTGAAAGTGACAAACAAAAAATTAGAGGAAAGTTTAATATGCACTTCTTCTGTATTGGTTCCTTATCGAACTAGAGAGACACAAGCCGAAAACGGCACCGATAATCTAAAAAAAAAAAGAAAAAAATAATAAATATGAGATTAAACCGAAATTTTGAAATACCTCAATGACAGCAATTCCGATAGCAACACCTCCGATTATTGGAGAACTCTTTTGATAGAATTCCATAAGTGCCTTCGAGCAGGATTTATCGTAAAACGAATTGTAATTGGTGGGTCTGCAAACGCTCACACCATCTCGGCAACAACTATGCGGCAAGCTGCCATTGTGCAAGACCATGTGATCGTAACGGTCAAGACCGCAACAATGAAACTATAACATTATCAAACATTCAATAAAATTACTGATCTAGGTGCGATACGAAAGAGAAGAATAGGAACTATTACTCACCAAAGCGTGCAAGACACAAGTTAGTTAAAGGAAAATTTCAGTTAGTCGATTGGTAACACTGACTGGAACTTACCCAGCTTTGTATGGCATCTACAGCCTCGGTCTTCTTCACGTCATTGCCATATTCCTTAAAAGTCTTCGCAAGACTCTCGTGGATGAGGCTGCGAGGCTCAGCCTCGTCCTCGTTGATTTTAATGAAAGCATAAACGCCAATTGCCACTTGGATAATAAAAATGACCAAAAGAATGATCGCGTACTGGAATTTATCATTATGAAATTTGAATTTAGGGTGTTCAGTTACTCACAGTTGTCAACATGCAGGGACTTTCCTTGACGGCACCGCAACATCCTAAAAAGGCTGTCACGAAAACGATTGCGCCGATGATTATTGAAAGAATTGGGGCAACGCCGAAATTCGAAGGCAAGGCATCCGTGGCTTCGCTGTAATTGAATTTATACAAAACTCCAATTATCACAAGTGCCAATCCCGCCAACTGCAAATAAAAAAAAAATATGATGAGGAACTAAAAATAAAAGATGATATCAAGGTCATCGCTGCGATTATGTTGGAATGTCAAAGGTTTACATTGAGACGTGATCTCGGTGCAAATTTATAAATAAAACTAATGTAAAAATACGCACTAATAAAGTTTGTTTGTCTTGAGATTTACTAGTTTATAGTAATTAGTGAAAAACACCACAAAACAGTATCAATATTTGCAAAGAAAATTTCTTATAGCGGTTTTTGGCACGACCTCTCGTTTTAACCTTGATTGAAATTGGTTAGTGTGGAGGTTGAACCACTCCTACTTCGCCTCTTTTACAACTTAACATTAACCCACATTCGATTTACCTGTCGAATGCATTTTAAAATCACTATCGTTATCCACAGGAAACGGACGTGGATTATAATTTCAAAAAAAAAAAATCGGCACAAAAAGTTAGTCACCTAATGACGTCACTGGATATAACTCCCTAATGTAATAAAACACTAATGAGCAATAAGCTACAATGATTCACTGTTTTGGGGATTGGCAGCCCTGTTYGGAAACCACTAAGTAATATCTACCACAGTAGCCTTGATATAAAACTATTGAAGACAGTCCGCAACATTAAATAAATGCGATAATTATGCAAACGACAGTCTTGAGGATTGCGTAATTGTGAAAACAAACATGAATCGACCTGGAACAATTGCAATGGAGGCTCACGAAGGTAGACTTTGCAAAACACAATTCGATTTTGGAAACCACGAAATCAGAGGAAGATGAGACAGTCGACCTTCGCATTTGTTATTGCGCCAAACAATTAATTATAACGAGATGCAAAAATAATTTTCAAAGCACATGCAACATTGTCCTAGATAGAATTTTTATAATTTATTAAAATTAATTTTTTCATAAAAGCATGAAATTTCCGATGTGTCTAATAATAATCTTCAAGGGAAACGTTTCAATTTCCTCAATATGAAACGCGATTTCAAATTCATAGTGCCATAACGCGTTGATAGTCCTAAAAACGTAATATTTCAAGCTATAATTGACGTTTTGTTTATTTTTTGATATTTATGACTCATATACTTCTAACACACAACAAGTCTAAAATAAGAGCTAATAACAATTCAAATAGAATGAAAGAACAAAAATAAATGAAACAGTTTGCGTTGTTAGATACAATATAATGATATGGAAGCAAAAAACCGTATTCAAGGCCTGAATTTCAAAATCGCTTTTAATTATATGAGAGACTTGGATATTTCCTAAATGCTTTATTATTCTAACAATTGATAAATGAACCTAAATTAGATGACAAAACAAAAAAAAGCCGCAACTTTTAAAACTAACAAAGTAAGTTATCACAGATGACCAAATATTGGTCGAGTATTTTATTTTCGTCTCTAAAATAACAATATATGTATTTTGGCCGCCTTATCGCACGAGGACTTTCCGCGTACCCAATGACCTTTTGCTTATTCATCTTTTTTCTTAGCATCTGTCATGATGTCATGAACTCCTCCCCTTTCCGTGACGTCGCAACAGGTTTTCGGGTAATAATAAAAAAACGCCAACATTTACCCTCTAAGAAAGGGCCATCTGCCAAAGCCCAACGCACACAACACTTACCGCGAACACAAGATTGGCAAGAAAGACGAAGTATTTAACGATTCCGGTTGCACAGCCCATCTTCAACACAACACAACTGTTTTCAGTATTTTTAAAACGCCTCTAACCCAAATAGCAAAGGAATGGCGCTTCGCTGCTCGACCGACGCAACTCAACACTGAAKAGTGGTTACATGTAAAACTGGTTTTGTTGTTGGTTTCATTGGCTCACGGCGCGTTTGTTCTATGCACTTTCGGTCGGTTSGAGTTGACTCAGATTCTCTGAGAACAACTCGATTGTAATTTAACAGTTTAATTGGGAGGTGGGAGGATCACGCGCCAAAAAATAGTCTTAAGTGGTCTTGTTGGGGCGGAATTGAACGAGTCCTACCTCCCTTTACGGATTTTCCATTAAATGTGTTGTTCACAATTATTATTGTATTAAATGCTCTAATTGGAAATTTTTGCACAAAACAAGCTATTTTCAGTGCGTGAGCTAATTTTTACGACGAAGTCATAAATATATAAAAACCAATCCAAAGCCGAACATTTCCGCGATATGACTCATTACTCATGGTAATTAGCACAAATACGACGCTTTTTCGTTGAATAGCCTATTGTTTAAGAAAGAAATCGGTGAATTATACTAAAAAGAAAATGTCCAGCTGCGATACGATAATGTTTTTGTGTAGTTTTATACGAAATACATACTTTGATATATGCAACCAACAATACACTGTCATAAATACAGAATGTTTTACATAATTTTACGAAGTCTACGTCTGTAAGATGCAGGCAATAATACACATTCCGATACGAACTCGATTACAAATTTTGAAAAATTGAATAATCTTCTCTAGATTGTTTACCCTTTCAAAAATTACAACGTTTTTAGTTAGTTAGTGATTAAGACAGATAAACTAGAATGATATTCATGCCGTTTCTTGATAGAGCAAATGATAATTGTTTTTGAAAAACTGCAGTTTATGACTATTAATGAAACAGTGATTAGTTTGACAACTACTATCATGGGTTTCCAAAAATGAAATAATTAAATGTGTATTTTTTGTATCTAGTGTTTTGTGACATTTGTATATTAGGTACGTACATTAGGCGCAATCCTCGTAAAGTTGTGTGAAACTTGAAACACTCTGTATACAGTGTGTCCCCGGATAGGTCAAACGATTCTTGTAAAAGATAAAGAATTCTTGATTTAAACTTTTATTTTTAGGGGTTCAGCTCTGCTTGGTTAAAAACTAATTTCTAACATAATAGTTTTAGTTTTGAAAAATCAAGTATGCCTTGGAAATTTTTAAAAACGTCATTTTTCTGTAATGTACCATTTGCATGGCTACTAAATAACTTTTTGACAATTCAAAGTAGGTCGATTATTTTGAAATTTGCTCTTTCGTTATACAATAAAAAACAAAATCAAAGATAATTTTTAATGTGTTGCAATTATTATAAGGTGCAATGAATCTAACAACGGTTAAACTGATTCGACTTTTGGGGCTTTTGCATTTTATATTCTGTAGGTTTTTTCTATCATCGTATGATTCGTATGCCTCGAATTTGGATTTTTTTTGTTAACGGTACCATACTAGGTCAGTAGATTTTCAAAGCTCCTCAAAATCGGGACTTCTAATTATGTACATAAAATTGCTAATATTACAATGGACAAAAAACACACTATATTTTTTTGTAATTTGTTGCTTATAAAAAAAAATTAAAAAACATAATTTTACATCAAAATTATGCATCTCTAAATAAGTGGTCGGCTGAATAAGACTATGCCTATACCTAATTTACATTGCCAAAGGCATGTCACAGACTTTTTGAGGATATTTTTTCCATCTTATGGTACCCTAACTAGTAGATTCTTTTGACAATTTTGCAATAAATTATTTCTTTGGTTCTTTGGTTTATAAATCTGAACCTTAACATTTCATAATATCTTAATTCTAAAGTATTATTTAATTTAATTCTAAATAATTTAAATATTTAAAATAATAACATACAAACATTTAATTTGGTTAAATAAAAACAACGAGTATAAATAAACACACTTTTTAATCAACATGTAGGTAACATACTGCCATTATAAATTAATAAACTTATCAAACMTATAAAGATCAAATCCACATAACCCTACTGTTCCTCCAAAAGGCACAAGACAACCCAATCCCCATCACAGAAGCAATCAACTGTAACAAAACCCATACATTTGACATTTGAGTAAAATTATCAAGTGTCGCCAACCTCGGTTACAGCCGTAACTATAAGTGCCAACCCAACAATATAATTGGTACCAACAATGTAAAAATAAAGTTTCTGTCCACAACCCTCACGATAAATGCTGTCTGAAATAATAGAACAATTCGGTGACAAGTTTTCGCAACATGATGATGGAATTGTGCGATTTAGTAGCCAATCATTTGGTCCAACATCAACTCCGCAACATTTCATCTACAATATTAAAATAACAATCATTGGTTGGTCATATTTTAAATACTCACCCACTGCTGGGTATTGTCCAATTGTGTGCGATTATTGTAGTATGTATCAAACATTTTTCCAACATCGTCACGTATTCGTATTTGAAAATCTTCATTATTTACGCTAAAACGCACTAAAGCAAAAATTCCTATACTGAGCTGAGCGGCAGCTAGCAGTGCAAGGAAAATAGAATACTGGAAATCAATTGTTGGAATAGCAAACTAAGAAAAAGTTATTAGTGTTACAGTTTCAAGACAACAGGGGATTTCCCGACAAATCCCACAACACCCCAAGATTATAAAAAGGAAGAGAAGAAATCCAAAGAAAATGAGGCAAAGCGAAGGCAGTGAGACCAGTTCTTCTTCCAGTGTTTCAACACTGTTGCTTTTGAGGAGGTAGTAAGTGGTCGTGAGGCCATACAGCAGGAAAGCTATGCTGACTATCTGAAATTTTTCTAGGTAATTTATTTGGTTAAAAATAGCGCAATTAGGTTCATATCCTCTCGGGCGCTCATAGAATTTCCCATCTACAAGATTAATTGTGTTTACTGTGCGAAAATTGTAGCTATTTTTAAAACCTGTTTATTTTTTCTGGGTAAATAATTTTGGAAAATGATAGGTGAAGAGTAAAAAAAGGTCGAGGTCTGTTTCAAACTCCAAAAAAATTACCAAGACCCAAAAAAATCCTACTTTTCCTCATGACATCACTGTTTCTCACACTAAACACATTCATTTAGCAAAATTACGGTGAATGGAACATTTCCACACAGATTCATTGCTAATTACTAATTACATTTGGCAATGAGTGCTAACTTAATTTTATTAATGTACTTACGAGAAAATATCCGGTGAAAGTGCTGCTGGCACCTTTTAGGAACAACTCCCCACAACTCATTATCGAAAAATTGCAGTGCCAACTTGAACCCGACTCATTTTATTTTTAAATCGAATGTTTTCAGCCGAGTCGGCGCCACCAAGACTGAAACGTGCTGAAATCCGGGACAAACTGAATGGATGCGACGACTATCCGACGAAGGGAAGGGGAAGAAAATGATTTTTACACATATATAGAACTTTATTCGGTTAAAAATTATACAAAATATACCAACAAAGTGAGATAAATGTGCACTTTCTCTTTGGTAGAAATCTAACTGCTAACGTCAGTCCGAAAAAAAAATATAAAAATTATCACATTTAATTTGACACTGTAAAGTAGTAAAATGAGTTTCGTGGAATAGAGGTGATTAAAGAACGTGAGATGAGATTTTTGTACATTGCCCTAGTAAACATTTTATTTACATAGTAATACTCTTGCATAAAGCTTATAGTGAATGAACAAACATTTAAATTATACATCTAGACTTTTCAGTGATAGAAATCACAATAAAGTCAATATTAAGTATTTAAGCGTAGGCTTCACGCCGCAATTGATTTTTGATAGAACTCGAAAGGCACAATGCGAATATGGCACCGATAATCTGCAACAAAAAACGATGTTAACTTGTGTGTGACCAAAACAACCACCTGTTACTCTCTTTGACATAATCTGGAACTTACCCACCCTTATCGACAACCACAAACCCACCCTAACCCATCACTCATACTAACATCACAATCCACCCCAACCTTGACCTTTTGATTTACTACCTGGTCACATGTAACCCCATAATTACCTCGATGGACGCTATAGCCACCGCTAAAATCCCCAGTAGATCTAATCCATTTTTGAACCACTGGTAGGCTTTGATACCACAACCGTCTTTATACGCGTTAGTCGACCCAATGGTACAGTTTTTGTTATTGTTGCAACAGGACATGGGCAATTTACCACCCTCCCATTTCCAGTCGTAGACGCTCTCGACACCGCAACAATGCAACTGAAACAAAAACAAATAAAGCTTTTGTAGAACTCAAAAAACAAAAAAATTCTGATCAAAGTGGCACGTAGCTTTAACACTGAGTTGGTATACTCGTTTTCAAATTAATATGCATCGAAGTAGTCGTTGAAAGGGATCATTTTAAGGTGGCAACCATGCGAAAATTCAAACAATCCTAACTTCAATCTTCCCTAAAAATTATTTTTTCACATAATTTTGGACCGCATGTAGCAAAAAATAATTAAAATTAACAACGTAATTAACATAGGATAGCAAACAGAAATTTTTTTGTCATTATTGATGTGATTAAATTTGCTCTGAAAGACATTAATGACACTTTTTGTGTAAATCGGCCTTTAAATTAAAGTTTCATTTAGACTTCTACAACCTACTTGATGCACATTAATATGAAAGAGAGTATAACATTGCATACTAAAAAGATAGAAAATAGATATTGAGACTACTCGTCACTTTAATCAGAAACTGAACGGTAAAACAAGGCAGAAAGTGCACACTTACAAAGTTTTGAAGAAAATCGAACTCTGCTTGAGCGCTTTTCGACGTGTTGTATTGATTAAACGACTTTTCGACCGTTTGCGTTACTGAAGATTTCATATCTGCAGTGTCGCCAACTTGCAAAAAGGCGTAAGCCCCGATGGCGATTTGGATAATCAAAAGTGTCAGCAATATAATGGCGAACTGCAAAATAGGCGTGGTTTAGTGATGTGGCCCAATTAGCATCGGCAAATTCGAGCGTTATCTCAATTTGTCGATTTCCGATTGGCTAAAGTTTCTTACTGTTGTTAACATGCATGTGCTCTCTCTGATAGCTCCGCAGCATCCGAAGAAAGCTGTAACGAAGATAATCGAGCCGATGATGATGAGTAAAACCGGTGGTAGGCTGAGATGGTATTTGTCTGGAATGAAGTTTTGAATGTCATTGTTTTTCAACTTGAGAAGGATGCCCAAAGCGAGAAGACCGGCGCCAGCGATCTGGAAATCGATGTAGAGTTAATTGGGTCGGTGTTAATTGCGCTTTCTCCCAAATTGCTGAGTTCCGCAGATGCCATTTTGGCGCCTTATTTAAATTTGATTGGGTTTCATTAAGTGTCAGATTTGTGGCGGTTATTATGGCGATCAATACTTGTGGAGTAAATTATTAATAAACAGTTTATTTCCTACCCTTAGTGTACTCACTAGACGCTCAATACTAGATAATATCGACCGTCCTACACCTACTTACCCATGGGCATTGTACTTTTATTTCTATTTACATTAAACACGTAGTTTTTTTTTTAATTTTTACCAAATTTAGAAGAGAGAAATTTAATTGATCGGTTTTTGACGAAATTCGTTTTAAATAATTTTCTAATCGATTAGATTTGAGGGAAAGAATTGTTATAATAACAAAAATACTGTTGCATGTCTATTTGCGTCCACGCAAATCAGACAACGAGGTTTATGGGCCTGATTAAAACGTAGTTTTTCACCAGTACATGGCAATTTACGTCTTCAACTCTTTGAATTTTTCATTACGAAGTGTTCAATAATGGGAATGGAGAGTCGTTAAAATTATGGGACACTAAGGCGCAGTTCAGCTTGTGATAAGGGATTTAATTTTGTGTAGTTGTCAAGGTGAATCAGATAAAAAAATAATTAACTGCGCCACTGTTGTTTTAGCAAATTAGTCACACAGTGTGTTCAAAATTAATAATTAAAAAAAATATATAGTTCAAGAAAAATATAGCAAACGAGTGTTGAATTTTGTGTAGATGAATTACATTTTTAGCAATAAATAATTCATGGGAGCGTTTAATAGCATTGCTTGCATCCTCCGATTAGGTGAACCCAGAGTATCACGCAGGACGTTTCGTCACGCCATTGTCCACCTTCATGTTCAGTGAATGCAACTTCCCTCCGAGCCATATGATTTTTTAATTACACTCGTGTTTCATCATACTGACAAAAATAACACGTTGGCACATCCGTCAAATATTTACATAGTGATTTTTCTGTACATGGCTGACTTGACCCCAGAAAATAAACAAAATGCTACTTACAGCGAACACTAAATTGAAGAAGAATACGAGATATTTGACGACGGTTGTTGAACAGCCCATATTTCCAAAAATAAAACACCAACACTCCACCGCCTTCTAGTCACCGACAACATCAACAGTCGAATGAAATGACCTGAAAGTTTTGTGTATGCCGCGCGAGTTGCTAGGAAACCGAGTCGTGCTTCCTCCAAGGAAGTGGAGGAAATGCTTCACGAATCTTCACACAAAAGGTTCGCGGACGTGAAGCGAATGATCGATCGAACGGCATGAGTGGTTTATTGGCAGGGCGTCGCCAGATTTACAGACACTTCCGGAAAAACGAGACAGGACCTGACCTGACCACGAGCAAAAATATTTCTTTTTTGTAATTAGCCTCCATTTTGATTCTCAAATAGACATATTAAAGAATGCGAAGTCATCATGTGCGATGTCTTAATAGTAAAAAGGCGACTAGATCAAATACTGACTTTTCAAATTAATACATTTCCATGACATTTCCAAACGTCACAATTTTCTAAATCCAAACGTCATAATATCTAAATCGATTAAAGAATAAAATTTTATTTAAAACTGCAAAAAATTGTAAAAAAAATTCGTTTCAAGATGTTGAAGCATTAATTTTTTTAAATAACTCATTTTTTAAATTTGGATTCCTGCTTCAAGACCGGTCTTATAAAACTTGTTTTTTAATATACATACTTTAACAAATTGAAAAAAATATATATTTCAGGGGAGTGTTATTTTTGCCGCCACAACATTTTAGCACCTAAATCTTTTGTAAAAATATGAATCATGTACATCTCAAAAAGTCTTTTACATATTTGTACAGTTGCGGAATTAAAATTTCGGTCACTTTAAAAAGTAAACCATCTTTCACTGTCATCATGACTGACAATTAAACTTTTTTTTGTTGTTAAAATTGTTAATTAAACACTTTGTCTGTTTTAGAAAATTTATTAATTGAACAAGTGTAATTAAATTGTGGCTTTGATCTGCTGCCTACCCGTTATTATGCGACAATTCACTATTTTTGAAAGTAAATAAGTCAAAGTGACATAAACATGAGAAGAGTAAAAAATGAGGTTATTAATGTAAAGGTTGATGACAATACTGCCCGAAATTTTAATTCCGCAACTGTACAGGGTGCTGCATTTTGGATGTCCGAATAGGGAATCTCCGAAACTAAGAGGTTTAACCAAAAACGAGTGATACATTTTGGGACTACTTTTTTGAGAAAATAATATTGGTTCAAACCGCATCCCGCTATCGTCTTTTGTTTTTGACTTACAGACAAAAGTTGACATTTTGGCGAAATCTAAAAAAATTCATATCTTCGTTATTATAGAAGATTCGAATTTGAAATAAAGACATTATAAAGGCACTTTTTACGAGGAATTTAATAAAGTAGTTAACTATTTTTTTCAGTTATTTGTTTAGCCGTAATAAGATAAACTTGTATTTTTTTAATGGAAATCATAGGCGGCTATGACAATTTTTTTTTTATTATTATACTTATTAAAAAATGAAATGCATATTTTGTTTAATAATAGTTGGCCATGGAAAAACTATTTCACTCCAAATGTATAAATAATAATCAATAAGACTTTTGTGAACTGTAAAATAGATGAAAAAAAAAATAAAATTATAAAAATTAAAAAAATACGATACGTTAGAAGTATTGAACAAATATGCGAGCGCCTCAGAACAAAGTTATTACATGTTTTTAAAAAATCCAAAAATAAGAAAAACAAATGTGTCAACAGTCAACACAATTAGAAAAAACATTTTTTTGATGATCTAATGGAGGTAGGATAACGTTCCACATTCACGGAATTTGAGTGTTTGAATAGCCATATCCTCATTTTTGTGTCATATAAAATATATTTTATTGAAGAATTAAATCAGCTTTTTTTACAACACTCTATGTATCACAAGAAGTTACAATGGTAATGTTTTTGCTAAAAATATATTATAATAATTTGTTACAAATACATATTTTTTACATAAGATAAAACTTTTTTTAAAAATAACATAGCCACCTATAATTCCCATTGAAAAAAATACAAGTTTATTTTATTACGGCTAAACAAACAACTGAAAAAAATGTTAACTACATTATTAAATTCTACGTAAAAAAGTGCCTCTATAATGTCTTTATTTCAAATCTGTGTTTTTTATAATAACGAAGATATAATTTTTTTTAGATTTCGCCAAAAAGGCCAATTATTGTCTATAAGTAGAAAACAAAAGACGATAGCTGGATGCGGTTTTAACTAATATTATTTTCTCAAAAAATGAGCCCCAGAATGTATTACTCGTTTTTGGCTAAACCTCTTAGTTTCGGAGATTCCCTATTCCGACATCCAAAATGCAGCACCTTGTACATATTTGTTAAAAATTGATAAAAATCGGTTCTAATTCATGGCTGACTCATAAACACTAATCATTAATAATTCAATACAGATTAAGTGTTATTTTAATATCTTTTAAAGCCAGAACACGTTTGCATAGAGGATATAGGAAGAATTTATTACATATTTTGATTATTTTTTGGCATTTCTAAAAATTAACAAAAACTTTGAAATTCAACCTTTAAGTCCCTTTTACCCAATCAAAACATTATTAGTTATAATTGGAATAATCTACAATTTGACTAATAAATAAATCGAATATTTCGGCTGAATTACACTTTATTCATTCGTTTCACTTGATTTAAAGCGTTTATTTTGCGTTTGTTTTAGAGAAAGTTTTTGAATGTAGGAGTTCTTCGTTGGAAAACACTCTAAATCAACCACAAAAAGGGCAAATAACTCATTTTGCGCTTTTCTGCCTTATTTTGGCCAAAACATTCTATTTCGCGAGTTCTTTGATAAAAAATGGTTTAACTCATGCAAAGCAGGCCAAAAAGCAGCTATTAAGACAACTAGAGGTAAGCTAATGCATTATTGAAAGAGTATAAGGCATTTTATATTTAAATTTGCAATTTTCTGCCAGTACTGGTGAATTCAATCTCCTTATCTAATCGTTTAAATAAAAAAAAATATCACTTACTCACCAATAACTATTACATAACCTCTTGATAAAAATCAAATCACTGAATTAAAATGGCCTGCTACAAATCCTGTCGAAAGTGGACTGTTATAATCTTCAATTTAATATTTTTGGTACAGTATCTGTCTACTAATAATCCTACTTTTAAGAGAAAATTTTTATTTTAGATTGTCGGTTTAGTTTTAGTAGCTTCAGGAACATTTTGGAAAATCAGATACAACAATTTGCATTCAATCATTCCTTCCACCTATTCATATTACACAAGTGCACCTCTTTTGTTAATAATTCTAGGAAGTATAACTGTAATCGTTTCACTTTTTGGAAGCCTTGGAGTTTGGAGGAAAAATCCTCCCATTCTGACTACTGTAACATTCAAACCTCCAAAACGTGAAACGCACTATTTTACCCATTTTTAGCACACTATTATTCTTATCGTTTTCTTCATCCTCCAAATCATTCTAAGCACTGTAAGCTTCTGGGTACTGAGTCAAGATAATTTGAAGGAAAACGTTTACAACAACGTGAATAATATTTATAAAAGTGATAACAACACAGAGCTGATTAACTTTATTCAAGAAGAACTAAAATGCTGTGGACCAACCGGTATCACATCTATTAAAAATTTGACAATTTTACCAGATATTATAAAAAGTTGCTACAAAAATCATGATACCACTACACTAGCGTTTGCAGATGGATGTAAAAAAGCAGTTTACAATTTTATTATATTAACTATTAGAGGAATTGGAACAACGATTCTTGGCTTGGCACCGCTTGAAGTAACATCTTCGAGAGTAAAATAAAGCTTTTATTCCACAGTTTTGCAGGTTGTTGGAGCTACACTGTCGCTAAGTCTTGCTAACGCAATAAGAAATCAAAGACGGAGATATGGAAAGTACTTGGACTGAAGCTTTTTAATCTAAACTTTCTGTATCTTCTTTGAATAAAGTTTGGGAATCGGAATTTGATTCGAAATACTCTATTTTGTTAGTAGTGTAAAACCTTCTAAAATGTTGGAAAAAAATCGCCGCAATTCCCTAAAATTAAAGTTTCATCCACAACAATTTAAAAATTGTCACCTACTTTTAACACTGATACAACCACCATAAAAACTCCAATATTTGTAGCACCACCAATTAAAATATTCCTAACAGGTGATTCAAACTTATAACACAAAAGAATTATCCCAAATATGGATTCTACAACTGAGACTGCAGAAATTATAACAATGTACTAAAAAAAGTTAGTTGCAATAAAAATTTAACAAAATACTATCATTAACTAATTTTAGAAGATTCAACTGCTTTTCCATTGCACCAAAAAATCCCAAAAAGTAATTTACTAAAAGAATTACTCCCAAGATATTTGTTAATATAGGGATCCAAAGCGGAGAATTTTTTGCCATTATGTCAATCATTGCTGTTGCAATAAATATTCCAGCCACACCCTGGAAAAGTATCAAAGGAAGCAAAAATATAAAAAAATGTAGATATTACCAAAAATAAGAAATTGAAAATCATAGTAGTCCATAAAATACATCGTTTATTGAAAAACATTTAGACACACAAGCTTTTACTTGTTTTATTAAAGGTTCAGGTAAAGGTATAATTGGTATGATCTTATTATTATATAATGTAAACAGACATTACCCCTGGTGTCAGGCAAGCAACAATACTAGCACAAACTAAATTATTCGTTACTATTATTTAACACCTCATTTAAATAATGTGGTGACATTAATTTTAATTTTAATTAAATCTCAAATACCTAATACTATAAAATCCTGAAAATGTCTGGCATAATATTTTTTTTTACAATAAGAACTATAAAGAATGTGGAGATATTGGAGAAAATATAATAATGTGAAAACAAAATCTACTGGATAATAATGTTTGTAAGTTGTATTTGTTTAGTTTAACAATATTACTTTAATAGTAACCACCCCTTCGGATGTCATTTCGCGCTGAATTCGCCAAACATAAGGCAAAAGTGGCCCCCACAACCTAAAATATCCTTTTACTCGAGCAACAGTCAAAATTCTGATACTTACTTCAGTGGCTGACAAGGCTAAAACGACGATTCCGATGATCCTAGCAGCATCTATCAAAAAATTGTAGAACGTATTTTTACAACCATTCTTAAACAAATTCTTAGTTGTTTCTTTTTTATCTTCGTAACAGGAAACAGGGATTGTCTTATTCGGCATTGTGTCCCAAAATTCCGGCCCGTCTGTTCCACAGCACTTAAGATTTTGCTGAATTAAGCCAATAAGTTCAACATCGGCTTTAGAATTTTTGTGAAACAGTTCATCAATTGTCTTGTTAACTTCTTTCGATAAGTCATCTTTATTTTTAATTTCCAAAAATGCGAATACTCCTAATGCTATTTGGGCTATGAAGATGATCAGAAGAATCACAGCGTACTAAAACTGAGATTATAGTCAAATATATATACTTGAGTGGTCCCCACCGTAGAGAGAAGACATGGACTATTCCTGCATGCACCACAGCAGCCGAAAAACGAAATCACAAAAATAATAGAACCAGTGACGATTGTTAAGATTGGGATTAAATTGAAATGGTTGTAAGGATCCGGAATGGCTTTGGTCACATCAGTGAAGTTGGCCAAGTAAATACTACCTATAGTAATAAGAGCGGCCCCCACGAGCTGAAATAAATGCGTTCTACTAACACCAAATGATAAGAGATAAGTTGGGTGTGTTTATTTGTGTTTATTTACAAAGGGAATAACAGAATTAGGAATAGTCTTACCACAAATACAAGATTGAAAGCAAGCACTACAAACTTGACACATTCTTTTAAAAGACACATTTCTGGAAAACTTTGTTAAACCGAAAGGAAAATCTGCACCGGAAAAGCTTATCTAGCGATATCAGCATTTGAAAAGGTGTTACTAAAAGTGGGGAATATACACACACATTGCAATATGTTTTTATCTTTTTTATTTCGAGAAAATATGATTAAGTGTTTTGATAATTTTTAATCATCTTCTTCCGTCAGACGATAACCATAATTTCTTTTTCTAATTCTCTTATTTGTGGTCAAATAACACACAGAAATAGTTCCAATTACCTGCAACGTAAAATTTTAATTCAAATTCAGTTTATTACTTTTTTACCTCAATTAGAGAGAAGGCTAAAAGTGTAATACCAGTAATTGTACAACTACTTAGAAGAAATTTTAAAATCGAACTTTGACACCCGGTGGTGTACACATTTGAGCAGATTTTGTCAGAGCAGCATGCTTCAGGAAATGGTTTGTTTAATGTCTGGTTCCAAAAGGTTGGTCCGTATGTTCCGCAACACTTTAAGCTGATTTGGATTGAATTAATGAGGTCTCCATGTTCGTTTTTATTAAAAAGTGTGTCTGTTGTGTTAATAATACTTTTCGAAAGATCATCCCCATCTTTAGTTTGTATGAGTGCAAAAATCCCTATACATACTTGGAAAGTGAAAATAAGCAAAATAATGACACAGAACTGAAAAAAATCTCCTAGTTTAATGTAACATGTGGGATTTTGTTACCTACAATTGTATTAAGACGGAAACGTTGGAAACGTTCAAAAGAAATGATAATAAATCCGAATAAAGCAGTATTTAAAAGAGCAACACCGACAATAACAGTTAAAATGGGTATAAGCTCCAAATAATTGTAGGATTCTGGAATAGCTTGAAATAATTGATCAAAACTTAGTTTATAGATAATGCCAATTGATAAGAGAGCACCACCAATAAGCTACAAAATACTGAAATTACGTTCTGAGAGATCAAAGTAAGACTTACGATAAAAATTATATTAAAAGCTGATACTACAAATTTAATATTGTCCGAAAAACACATTCTAGTAAGATGTTTTACATTTTAATGATTTTTTATCTACTGATTTATTATCTGTACGATAAAATACAAATAGTAACAACACATCGCGGCAAAATCAAACTTGTAATAATTATAACAGCGCTAAACGACAAATAAGTTTGCTTATTTGTGTTTATTTTTATATTATGTAATTTATGTATTTCGCTTATTTCTAATCGGTCACGTCACAAACTTTTTGTTGAAAAAAGTTTAACTAATGTTCAAGTACAAAATCAAAATAATAACTGTTTTCAAAATTACTGATAAACTGATTAAAACAATTATTTAATTAGGTATTTAATCCACGATTACAGTTTTAATAAAAAAACTTAAAAGAGTTTTGTTTTCAATTTTTTGAGTTTGCTAAACAATAAAAAACCATTTGTGCCACTCGAGAATACCTTTATAAAATATTACTCAATAAGAAGAAAATCTATAAAACTTTCTTTCTAAAAATAAAACTGTAGGTTTTAGAAAAAGTAGAAAAGTGAGAAAACTCCTAAGAAAAACTTCATATAAAACGATTTAATTCTGTTGTAGGCTATTTTTTATTGCTTATTCAGATTGGCTAATTATCATATTCCAGAAAATAAATTAAGAAGGGCCTATTTGCTAAAAAAAATATCAACAAAAGAATATTCTGAAAATCATTTAGAATTGTTAAAAATACTTGAATGGGCACTATAGGACGAGATAAATTTTGAATAAAACGCCTCTCATGCATTTGTGGTTTTTTGCAAAAATGTCAAATTTTCAGCCCACATATGAAGAGAAATTTTTTATTTTTTGATACATAGTTTTAGACCAAATAGTGTACAAATGCTGTTACAGCCCTGTTTGGGGACTGAATTTCAGCAAGATCAAAGATTAGTCTTATTTTTAAACTTTTCAAGGGGCAAAAGAGGTAAGCAAAACAGAGGACACAAATTTCAGAAATTTGTTGAAATAATACTCTCGACTCAAAAATGATGTCAATTAATGTAAAAAATATAAAGAAGAGGCAAGAAAAATCTTAGTACATAACTAAGTAGAAATGCACAAGCAAAATTTTAGAAATATTTTAGCAAACATGAAAAAAAATCGTATATTGACCTTCGTTCTTGCGCCACCTCGATAGTTTATTAACACAAAATGCAATAAATCTTCTCTATTATCTGCCGTCAACACCATCATTCCACCAGTAGCAACCCAAATGGCCGTCTCCGAAGTTACCAAATACCTAGTTTTCCTAACTCTCAATGTAGTCGTCGCTGTAAGTTCACCTCCCGGATTTTCCATCCCCAAATGTAAAAATTTACAGTTTTGCGGCGCCATCCTTCTAGCTTTTGGCGCCATTCTCCAAGTCGACGAACACAAAGGTGTCAAAAGCTTTGCTCAGTTATCCATCGGCGGCTTCGGTATCGGAATCGGCGTCCTGGGCCTCTGCCTCGCCACTTGGGGCATTTGGGCACTTTTTAAGCGCAAACCCAGCATTTTGACTTACGTAAGTCAACAATTCATCTCTCAAAATCTAAAGACTCCCTTCTAGTACGCTGTGACTATCATCGTGCTATTTATTGTACAAATTGTGCTTGGAGCTATCGCTTTGGGATCGGTTAGTGGCAGCAAGCGCGATGATGACGAAATCGAGAAGGCCGTCCAGCGGTTGTTCCGAAGACAAGACGACATCGCCGTCAAGAGAATCAATCATATACAAAAAACAGTAAGTTTGGAATACCAAAAGTTTATTAGTAAAAGTTTTCCAGTTTCGCTGCTGTGGAGTCAATGGACCCAACTACTGGAAACAAATGTTTAACAAACCGATTCCAATAAGTTGCTGTCCAGAATTAAGGGAAAGGTGTGATAATCCATATGAAAAAGGGTGTGCCAGGGTGTATGCCGCCGCAATTGAAAAAAATGTGGGCGTGATTGGAGGCGTGGCTATCGGATTCTCTCCAGTTTTGGTACGTGGCAATATACCAATCTGGAAATAAATCACGTGGTGTTCCAGCTTGTCTCTGCTATTCTCGCCTGGTACATACGACTTGAAATTAAAAAGATGCAGTATACTTAATTACTTATGTATTCGTAAATATTGACAATATGCTAATAATAAAATTTGCTTTGTATGACAATGAGTCTTTATCAGCGCATTTAATATTTAGAAGCCTTGACAGTGATTTTCACCCCTCGAAAAGTATATAGCAATGATTTCATTTAGAAAAAAATTAGATACTTTATAATGATGAATTATTACTGGAAGTGATGCCATACGAAACTATCGGAATCTCGATGGAAAGAAACACTGTAATGAATCATTTTTCAAATAAATTAGCTCTCACAAACATCATGTGATTAATACTGTTTAAAAACAGATTGCTGGTGATAACACACCAAGCCCTGTTATAAACTGAATAGATTTGACACTCAATCATTTTGCTACAGTTTGTCGCGATCGAATATAGTGCATCAAAATGGGTTGCCTTTCGGGAATTGCAAAATATTTGTTATTTCTGTTCAATTTTTTGATAGTGGTAAGTGTCGATTTTCGTTGACTATTTCCACTTCATTTAAATTTTTCACCGTTATGTATAGGTATGTGGCATCGCTCTTATAGCAGTAGGTGCCATTATGCTAAAGAATGAAAACAAAGGTCTTGATTCAGTTACCGACTTTTCGGTTGGTGGTTTTGGTATTGCTGTCGGTGTTATAATTTTTGGTATAGCTTTCTTAGGATGTTGTGGAGCTATAAAAGAAAATGGCTGCATGTTAACGACTGTAAGTAATAAGTGTTATGTTTGCTCGGAAACTTAAGTTTTTTCGCAGTATGCAGTTATTATGATTGTTTTGTTGATTTTGCAAATTGTCTTGGGAGCTATGGCCTTCGTAGCAATCAAAAATGACGATAAAACTTTGGATAAAAAAGTGAAAGAAGTTGTCAAAGATACATTTGATGATTATATAAAGAACCCAACAGAAGAGAAAAGAAAAGTAATTGATACAATCCAGGAAGATGTAAGTTTATTTTCAAACTTAATTGCGACAGTATTTTTGAATCTATTTCAGTTTGAATGCTGTGGCGTTGATGGATCCACTTATTGGACAAGTCACCTGAAAGACGTTCCAGCCAGTTGTTATGAAGACAAGGATAAACAACAGACTAAACTTTTCAAAGATGGTTGCGCAAAACGGTTCCAAGAAGTGATAACATATAACATTAAAGTCATTGGTGGAATTGCCCTTGGATTTGCAGCAGTTGAAGTAAGTTTTCCAAATTGTTCTATAGCAAATTGTAATTTTAATATTGTTACAGCTTGTGTGTGCCATTTTCGCCATTATCGTCAAGAACAGATAATTTTTTATATCAAAAACAATTTATTATCAATACATTTTTTAGAAAACTTTAATCCTTGTTTTTGTAAAATAACACCCAATCCATCGAATTATTCGTAGAAAATTTCAGCACTCCTTTGTTCAAAAACAGATTATTTCGTAGAAAATTTCAGCACTCCTTTGTACAAAAACAGATAAAAAACAGATAAAAACAGATAAAAGACTTGTGCAACAACTGTTTTATAGAAATGAATAGTAAATCCGGTTTTGAAATAAATGACGTCACCTTGCTCGGCTAAGTTTTGACCAATGATAATTTCTCTACATTCATCATTTTGCCCATTCATTCTCATTATCAATCAAGGGGTTAAATTCCGCAATTATAAGAGTACCTACTTTGACTTAAGAATACACTTACCTCTACTTAACTCAAGCTCGACCAATCGTTCAATACCAGTTACCAGTAACAATTGCCTGACTCATACCCTCCAAGGTAATCCCACTTCTTATGTTGGACACAAACAATTTATTAGAACATAATTTGAATAATTAGAAAATAAAAAATTTGAGACATATCAAATCAAAGTTTTAGTCAATTACTGTATAATTATTACAAAAACACAAATCGGCACGAATAAGTATCCCAGATTTGTGTTACTCCTTATCACCGTCTTCCACAGGATGACCTCTGGATAGTAACGTAGGGCTGTAGACAAACCTTCATCTCAAATGGAAACGATGACATCATCGGAAACAAATAATAATGAAGTCATATTCTCATAAAAACTCATAAAATTGTTAGGTACTGATTTCTAACAATGCATTTGATTAAAAAGGCGGTGCTGGATATAATTTTGACGATTTGACACTCTGTCATTTTGGTTTTTAGTCTGTCTCGATCGAATTCAGTTTAGAAAAATGGGTTGTATTTCTGTATTGGTAAAATATTTGTTATTTTTATTCAATTTTTTCATAGTGGTAAGTGTCCCATTTGGCGACTATTTATTGCCAATTCATCTAATTTTTTTACCGTTATGTATATAGGTATGTGGCATCGCTCTTATAGCAATAGGTGCCATTATGGTAAAAAATGAAAACAAAGGTCTTGACTCAGTCACCGACTTTTCTGTTAGTGGTTTTGCTATCGTTGTTGGTGCTACAATTTTTGCTATCGCTTTCTTGGGATGTTGCGGATCTATTAGGGAAAATGGCTGCATGTTAACGACTGTAAGTAATAACGTATTATTTTTGTTCGGGAACTAAAGTTTTTTCACAGTATGCAGTTATTATAATTATTTTATTAATTTTGCAAATTGCCTTGGGAATTATGGCCTTCGTAGCAATCAAAAATGACGACAAAGCTTTAGATAAAAAAGTGAGAGGAGTTGTCAAAAATGTATTTGATGATTATGTAAAAGATCCAACAAAAGAGAAAAAAAAAGTAATTGATACAATCCAGCAAGACGTAAGTTTATTTTCAAATTTAATTGCGACATAATTATTATTGAAGACCGTGGTTAGCCGTCCGCACGTTTGTGCGGACGAATATAATCTTGTGCTATCCGTCCGTACAAATGAACGGACGAATATCACAAACACTATTATGGAAGACAAATAGTCAAATAACAGATAAGATATCTGCCCGCACACACTTGTGGACGATTGTGCCGTCTGTTCGTCTGCTTATAAATCTGAAAACTTATGTAAGTTTTCTTCTTAATTCATTATTAGATTAGAAAATTAGAACAAGTTGAAATTTCCTCGAAAGAGGAAAACCTTAAAAGAAAACAGTGATCGGGTTACCTAACTAGCGTCTAGTCGATTTTACAATTCTTCAACCGTTGAATGAGGAGTACATACCTACACTGGTGTACTCATTCAACGCCTCAACGTATTTGCGTATGGATATCTTCATTATTATTGAATGTAATTTCTAAGTTTTGTTGAATTTAAGTTTCTATTTTCAATCGGTACGAATTCCAAAAGTGAATAAATGTTACAATACCACTTAAAAAAACATTATAAATTTAAAAGTGCCTTTTGCTAATCATTTTTATACGGAGGCTCTTGCTAACCACGACCATTATTAAATCCATTTTAGTATGAATGTTGTGCCGTTGATGGACAAACTAATTGGACACACTATTGGACAAAACCGCCAATTAGTTGTTATAAAGACAAGGATGAACAACAAAGTAAACTTTTCAAAAGCGGTTGCGCAACACACTTCCAAGAAGTGATCACTTATGACATTAAAATCATTGGTGGAATTGCCCTTGGATTTGCAGCAGTTGAAGTAAGTTGAAGTAGTTGTTCAATAGTAAAAAAATTGTAATTTTAATATTGTTACAGCTTGTGTGTGCCATTTTTGCCATTATCGTCAAGAACGCAAGATCAAATCATAATCTTTAATTTAGAAAACTATTTACTACCAATAAACTTTTTTAGAAAACTTTAATCTTTGTTTCTATAATGATCATTGATCACACACATTCCAGAATTCCAGTCAATTATTATTTAGTCTCAGCATTCCATCTACGTACAAAACAGATAAATACTCATACTTGGAACAATCTACTCAAGTGAAACGATTAATATTTTGTATCTTTGATAAAAAATTGGATAAGTACCTGTAGGTATAGGTATAAAGATTAAAAGATACAAACAGGAAGTAGAAAAAATTAAATAGGTAACAGAAAAATATACAATAAAGTATTCCATGGAGTAAAGCATTTACCGAAATTTATTTGAAAAAAATGGGTGGTAGTGGTGGCCTAATAAAACAAACTTTTCACGTAGTCTGCGTTGATTGACAGTAATGGCCGTTGGGGAAGCGACGAGTCCGCGCTCCAATGGAATCTGTATACTTTGATTTGAAACTTTGATAAATTTTTGTATATAAAAATTTATTTTTGTGTTTTATGGGTTGTATAATATTTTTTTGTTGATTGTAATTTTTTCTAAGAACTAGACCAAAAACATCAAAAATTATAACATTTTATAAGCAAATATAATTTTATTTATATTTATTAATAATTAAATTAATAACAACCAATTTCTATAAATGTCAACGTCAGTGTCAACATCTTTTGATGACTCTTTTGATGAAAATAGTCATTTTAAATGTAAATATCCTCAAGATACACGTTTTTCACACTGGAAATTTAGTGATGAAGATCTTGCTGCCGCTGGCTCTTCGAAAGCGTCATCTGATCATTTACAACAAGAATTTGAAAATATGAAGATTTGTCATTCTATAAACTCTTGTAAAAATTTAATTTTTRKCTGTGAAGACTGTAATAAAACCTTTAARAACGTAAGAGGACTGAAAATTCATCGATCTAAAATTCATCTTAATTMGTMTTTTGTTTCYAAAACGGAAGAATCATCGTCTAATGAAGTTTTAGATCATTCATTGTCATTGATCAACTATTCAGAATCCGAAGTCAAACATTCCAGTGATTTTTACCATAATGATGAACACATCAAAAGAGTGAAATGCATCTTATGTCCTGGAAAATCTTTTAAAGATGTTAAGAGGTTGAATATACACTCAGATAAGTTTCATGCCACTTCTCACTTACCAACTTCTTCATCTGCTTCAACCAGTTCCATAACAAAACTGCTTATTAAACTGAAATATCATCTACCGACTCTTAGAAGAATTCCAAAAGCCTCCAGACATTTAGCCGCAGATAAATTAAGCTCCATCATTAATAATTGCCTTTCGACCAGAAATTTTACTTCTTTCGAGGATCTTCTACTATTCTCTTATAAAGCTTTTAATATTATCGATAAATCTGACAAATCTTTAAATAATCATATATATCAAAGAAAATCTCTCCAACTTTGAAGATTTTACTATACCAGCATCTTATTTTAAACGCTCAACTTTATCATTGGCTAAGAAAGTTGAAGCTAAAGTAGCGGATTTCGACATAAGAGGAGCTGTTAGATTGTTATCATCGGATAACTCACTAGCTTCTTTTGATGAAGATGTGGCTGAAGAACTTAAGAAAAAACACCCTTCTCCATCGCGTGAACTCTTTTTCCCAGACGCTTTCCAACAAGTTGACAAGTCTTTAATAGTAAATGAACAGAATGTCCGAGAAGCCATCAATTCTTTTCCTGCCGGTTATTCGCCTGGTTTAGATGGCATGAGACCACAATACTTGAAAGACATTATATCCTTATCAGCAGGAGAAGCTGGTAATCGCGCCCTTAAAGCTATAACTAAATTTTGCAATTTTTTATTATCTGGCCAACTACCTCCCGACTTTTGTCATTTATTTTATGATGCTTCTTTATGTGCTCTTCATAAGAAGGATGGAGGCATAAGACCGATTGCCATTGGAAATTGTTTTCGGAGATTGACGTCCAAACTTGCTTGTTTTCAAAGTCGTAATTTAGTCAACTCCTTTTTATCACCTCATCAACTTGGTGTTGCAACTAAACTAGRTTGCGAAGCTGCAATTCATGCCGCTCGYACTTTTGTAACTGATGTCCAAAATCATGGCAAAGTTTTTCTTAAAYTAGATTTCAAAAATGCCTTTAACTCAGTCGAACGTGATTGTATACTTAAAGCAGTGCAACAACATACCCCGCTTCTGTTCCCATATCTTTATCAATGTTATAGAAATCCTTCATCTTTATTTTTCGGTAATCATTTTATCTCTTCTTCCGTTGGAGCTCAACAAGGTGATCCTTGCGGTCCCATGATTTTTAGTCTTGCAATTCAACCAATGATTTTATCTTTAAAATCTCAACTTAATATGTGGTATCTGGATGATGGGTCTTTAGCTGATTATCCTGATACAGTTTTGTCTGACCTTTTAAAAATTATMACTTTATCTAAAGATATTGGTCTGCAATTAAACTTTAACAAGTGTGAGCTCTTCTTCTGCTCCGCAGTCCCAGATTTTAAAATTTTAGATAAATTTCAAATCTTAGCTCCTGGCATTAAACTATGCTATCGCGAGAATTTTTCCCTTCTAGGTGCACCAATTTTCGACCAAGGCTTTAATTCTYTTGTGGGAAAAACATTTTCCATGATTGAAAATCTATTACAAAAAGCTGAACTACTTAGCAGTCACGTTGCCTATACTTTAATTAAGAACTGTCTTTTC